CAAACACACATATACATCGTATAAGATTGCTAAAGCAATCTAGTATATTTTATATAAATTTTAATTCGCTTAGTACAGTATATAACTCCGCCTGTAGCTCTTCCGTAGGCTACTGCCTGTCCCAAGCCCAGATAAACGAGGAGTTTTGGGCATGAGGTTAGCGAGCCCATTCCATAGGAAACTAACTCTTTAAAAAACGCTAACCAGAAGTAGTATAGTTTATGAAATTCTACATTCTAAGGGGCATAAATAATCGATATTTAATTTAATTGGATCATTACTACATATACTATTGTTAATCACATAAATCCCGCACTTGAAAAACATAAAAGATCCTACAAGTATATTCAACATGTACTAATTGTTAATCTTAGATTTACTCTAATTATATTAATTTGTAGTTCAATAATAACCACATACAAATAAATAAACATAAATTAATCTATAGGCCTAAATAAATGATAAGTAGAATAATTGTATTGGGAAGTAAATTTCTTTGTTTATCGACTCACTAAAAGTGCACTTAGACAGATTACATCTAGATCGATAATGCAAACAACACCTTTTTTTCAATCGTCACAACGAAAAAAGACACTATATATATTATGTTACACCCTTTTTAAACTTTAATCATATTATGAATTAAACATGTTATTTCAGGAAAAATGTAAGTAATAGTGAAGTCATTTAATTGTAAAGTAATTTGTAAGAAATTAATGGTAATTTTTTTCACTGAATAACTATGGTTAGTTTCATAACTTTATATTGATAGTTATCATATGCTCAATAATGACTAGCTTCCTGAGAAAATTTCTACACTTCTAGTGAGAATCCATAATCAGTGGAACTAATATATATCGGATGTGAATCAGTCACTCATCGAACATTATGTGAGATGGTGACGCAATAACATGAATAAAGTGAATACAGTTAGACATTAACACAGTTGGATACCGACCTAATGGTTGATAGTTTAATTATTTACACTGCAGACGGAATGAGTTGTGTTGTATTGCATAGTTCGAGTTAATGAATGATCAGTTTTATGGAATCCCATATTAATATGAAAAAACGGTGTTCGAGTAGTTTTATGTTTTTAATGATGTTGTGATATTGATCGGTTCATGATTTCAATTGAACAATATCGTTTTAATACATTCCAACTACTGTTAGAGTTTCGTCTCCCTGTGTAGTTCAATAATCACTGGTATAATACTTATTTCATATATATAATTAGATAGATAAATCATTATGTTTAAGGGTAATAAATACTACATTCATATATTTTCAATGAGGTTGTTACAATCTATCAAGACTGAATAATCAAGAACACATTAGTTATTTCTTATTGTTTGGTACTTATTTTTTCAATAAAATAACTTTCTTCCCGATAGATATAATACGTATTATAACTTGAATGACTAACATAATGTAGCAAGAAAAGCAAGTAATTTAATACGGCTAATAATGGATAGTAGATAGATTCTAGGATTTACAACCATTCCTCAATATGGCTTCACAAATTGTGTGAAGTATTATCTGGAGTAATTCACATTATATAAAACTAACTACATTTAGGACGTACTGTTTAAAAAGAATTAGTAACATAAGTGTTGTGATATAAATGAGGTTAACTATTTCAATGCTTTACATTTGTCATTGACCTCTAGTGGGAATTTTAAGTGAATAAACTATGTTTATCATATCTTGATAAAAATGACTTTTAGTACTTCATGTAAGAAAAGGTGGGCAATTTAAAGTAGTGTGATTAGCTTATTACGTTATTTCACGGATTCCTAACAGACTATTTGATTGAAAATCAAGTCAACATTCTGGACTGGTTTTTATATTTTCACTATACAATTTCTAGCATCAAAACATTTTTGATAATGCTTCAATAAAAAGTCCTAATATTAAGCTATATGTCTTCGAGAAATTTTACCATATTTCTTAAAGTGTATTTTTAATCTATCTCTAACATCATATCCTAATTTCCTCCCCATCTGGAAGCTGGTTGGTTTACTCCCACAGTTATTTACTGCTGATAGTCTCACCGTTCAGGTTTCTCTTCGGAATGGTCAGCCTTCTCGCTGAACACTTCCACAATGAACTCTAGTCTATCAGAAAATTGATCTTTGTACTTTTCCTCGATATCATGACAAGCCCATTGCACATTCGTCTCAGTCTCTTCCTTCTATGTTTTGAAGGATATTTCGGTAATCGTGAATTGATAAAATTTTCACCCTATTAGAGATTTTTATATTTTCACGACCATCTTCACTGCAAGTGCTAGCATGTTTTTGGTATTTTCTTCTTCATGAAACGTTGACAACAAAGTTTCTCTCGAAACAAAGCTTCTCTTTTCGGCTTGTGTTTAACACGTTTCACTTACCTGAAACATGGTCAGGTTGTATTTTCTTATTCCTAAAGCTACTCACTTGAATTCTCACTATGTTTGAACATTTCATGTAACTACATTGATTGTTATTCTTGTTGTCAAGTGAAGCATTGCTGCTTCCGGAAAATTTATGCTTTTGTCGTGAGGCTTTATGAGTGTTCTGTCCCCAAATGCCCTGGTACGGCCGAGAGTGGAGAAGGCTCTCGCTCTCTTTCAAAATGCTCTCACATGGTCACGCTTATATAGCCTCTGCCAGGGAAGTTCTACTCAATGCCTTCTCTTGGCGGGGGTGTCGTTCACGAAATTGAGAGGACGAAAAGCGAATGTCCGGTGCTTTAACCGGGTTGGTGGACACGGAAAGTTCACCTAGGGGAGTTGAGAAACTCTGATTCCAAACCAGTGATGCACATGGGCTCCAGTATCCTGAGGGGGCAAATGGCGTATGAAACTATTGTTGGTCAACAGCCAACATGGAATTGCATCTCTTGACATTGCTCCACCGTCTTGTGGATCAGACTTTTAGGTCAAAGTCTCCGGGTCTGTCCCCCTAGAAAAACCAACTGCCTCGATCTGGGCACTCAGGTAATATCACAACCCTCACACAAATCTAATGAGATGACAATTACTTCACGAAATACTGTTCTCACTTCAATTAGGATTCAGACAATTCATATTCACTTGATAACACTCATTTATATTATTATCACTATTATTAACTATTATATACACTATTATATATACTATTATATACTAGGTCACTTATCTTCCTCTACTTCCATTTCATGTACTCCTGTGTTTCAACTCATACAGCAGCTCTCCCATGGTGAAAACTTTGTTCTATCTGAACTTATGTGTTCCAATAAATAAATCATACATTATAAGTTTTCTATATGAAGTTCAGTGAACTTCCAGTAAATTGTATGCGGCTGAAATGATTTTATAAGGTTGATGTTTTTCCGGAAAAAATTATTTCCTACGATATGTGGTTGTTAACTACACGTTCTATTTCCCTCCTTTATTGAAGCTTCTGACCGAGAGTAACATCAGAAAGGTTCAAGACGAGGTCGCAACACATTAATTCATCATCAAATACATTACGAATACCCTCAGTCACTCATCAGAGTTTTTAAATTCAATCCTTTTATGATCTCGTAGGATTGTTATTTTCTATCGTTCAACATTATCTTGTTCTTATCTAATTTTTTTTCATTCTGATTGGTTGTGCTGACTCGTTTGGTTTAAAATTAACCTACACTTCAATAACTTATGACTTTTGAAATTATTTTTTTAATCAATATTCAAAATTTTTAGAGGTTTACTTCAAGATGGCTCTCATTACAGATTCGTCATTATTTTCAACATCTAGATACAAATGTAATTTTCAATGAAGTATGTAGTAATTGGAACAAAAACACTAGACATGGCTACTTGTGATAACTGGACAAGACCGATGTAAAACTGTAGATTAAGACTACATCATACATTACGTACAAAATCCACGAACTGATCATCAATATATATTGAAAATATGATCCGTTATCTGATCAACGGTCAGATTTAAATACATAAAACTGATCATATATTAATTATTTATTGTATTGATCAGTAATTCAGATTAACAAAATCAATAGACGAACGGTTTTAATAAACAAATCTAATTAAATTACTGAGTTACACGTTTCTTTATTCCCTAATCAAATAATATCTATCTCATAAAATAAAACATGACTTTATAATAGGCTACAAACTTGATAAGATTTTGTTTTGTAAACTAGTGTATGTATATCAATTTATTATTTGATGAACTAGTTTAATAAGCCTTATCAATATCAATACAAAATATATCAACACTAAGATTATTTCAATAGTTGAGATCATGAGTCAATTGAAGCTAGATCATCATGGAAAACCTGGAAGCAATGGACGGCCGTTTCATCCAATTGTGGGACTCCCATTCTTATACTAAAATTATTACTAATAAATGATCTTATCAATTAATTTATTCATTGATACATGTAATATGATACATATTATTTAGGTATTCTTTCATGTTGGGATGGTCTGTTTCTCTTTTCAATAAATAAAATAAATCTGGTCCAAGCTTTTTCAAGGAAAAGCAGATTGCCAGGCGAAACGTTGGACTTACTACAAATTCATTCGCTAAGATTTTACAAATATATATTATTCCTAATGAATGTCTTAAATCAACTCGGCGCTCAAATACTGTAAAACTATTCGCTCTAATTTAGACGAAAGTCTCAAGCAAACGGATCAGCCTTATACTAAATAAATTGATTACCAGATAACTTTACGTAATGTTTTCAATCGTTTTGGAATCTAATGATGTATTCATCGTCACTACCAGGTACAGCTTTTGACATACGTTTTGACATAAATCGATGGATTTTGTGAAAATAGATGAATTTAAAGTAAATCTAACGTTTCACCTGGCTATGTGATCCAAGCTTTTTCAAGGAAATATATATTCTTCCTATTTAATGTCTTACATCAACTTGGCGCCCATATACTGTGAAACCATTCGCTTTCATTTAAACAAAAGTTCTTATATCTAATATAATTTATCTTTTTTGTTTAATTTTAGAATTATCAAAATGTTATTCACATCACTAATTAATTCACCATCAAAATGTTTATTAATTGTATTATTTCTTATTGGTACTACTTATGTATTCTATTTATGGAGTGGAAAATTTAAAGAAACTAATAACCCAGTATTTGTTATTAATTATGCATCGATTGATAATCCATTCAGTGAGGTAAATTTGGGTCATTTCTTTGTTTATATTTTGTTTATTAGTATTACTATTATTTAAAAATCTGTTTTTTGTTACTGTTCTGTTTTTCGAATATATTCTATGGATGTGCATAGATTATATTTGGATTTTACAGAAAGTATTCATAATATTTGAATATTGCTTCTTTTTACTGGTATCTTGATGATTATTACAAGTATGATTACCTTGGGTTGATCATTAAAATCAGCTCCTAGATTTGTTGTATTATTAAGCCTAGAGTAACTATTTTGAATGATGATTGCAGATGAATACATAGTACAAAGTTAAACAAGCAAATGATCACCACTTGATTTCACAAATGATTCATTGGATTAATAAACAGATAATACATTTCACTGTTCGATGTAGTTACTAGTGAATTTAGATGTCGTATGTTATAAATTTATTTTCAAATAAGTTGATATAAAGTCATACTTTGGCTTTCCATGTACACAAATATCAATAAAATTAAATCGATCGAAAGCAACCGCTGACTGAAATTTTGTTACTAGAGAAAACTATCAACTTTTAATTAGTTCGAGTTCTAGGTACATAAAGAATGAATGTCGAAGAATGGATTATTATCAGGATGAATTTCACAACCTTAATGTAATAGAAAATGAAGTAACTCTTTGGAAGTATTTTTTTTTAAAAAAAACAAACAGAAAAGTGTTGATTCTTATCATCCCCCTAAAAATAAATCATGTTTTTGCTCTTGGTTTTAAGTATGAAAGAATCGCGATTTCTGTAAAACTGTATCCAACACAACTACTTAATTGTAAAAAATAAATTGAGTAAGCATTTATTAAAATGTTTAGTAAAGTATGGGTAAAACTATATCACGCCTATAACGAGTTATGATTTATCGAAATTTACAACCATTGATTAAAATTATCATTTTTATAGACTATGTAAATGATTGAAATTCTTGACCGATAATCAGTATAGAGTTAGCTTACTATTGACTTGAGTCATATAAGAATTCTTCGTGATATCAAAGATTCATTGGTTCATATATAACTACTTATAAAAAGATAAAACTAGATGTTTAAACTTTTGAACTCATTAACTTGATAGTTTAAATTTAATCTCTAATGATTAAATCAAGGTGTTCTCTTTAAATTGTATGTGTTATTTTTAAGTTATCTATACCATAAACATTTAGTTGTGCTATTTGTGATATTCACAATCACTAAATAATGTCATTCAGTTTTTAAAAAAAAGTGAAATAACAGATTAATTTGGAATTATACTTTCGGAAATGAATTATTTTCTGAAACTTCATTCACCCTCATTAGTTTGATTTAAAAGATAAGTGGATTATAATACCACGATAATAATATCATTTCAACAAACCATGATAGTGCAGTCAGCCAATGATCATATACAGCGTATGGTTTACCCTTTACTAAATTGTCTAACATGCTATGTATTTTAAAAAAGTATTCCAATCTAATTATCCATCCTTTTTTAGCATACTAATATTATGATTTCCATATAAAAAAAATTCATAGGAATAAGTAGTCCTTATACATCCTGATCGCTTGAAAAATTTAGATAAAAAGAGAACGGTGATATTTTCAGTCTTTGTCGTTTTTGGATAAGTTTAATGAACTATATCCGATAAACGATGTTAAGATCATTATAATCAGCAAATTTTGTAGTTCTCCCTTTCTTTTTACTAATTTTAAATAATTTGTTCAAATAAATCCTAAAAGAGAATGTATATGTGATATTATTGAGAGATAAAATAGAAAAGTGCATCACATAAGTTGTTGAATCTGTAAAGACACTTTACTTTTCATGCCAACTGATTGCTGAGGGGTTTACCTATACTATAGTTTTGGTCAGATTATATTGATCAAGTTACAATATGACCACTAGTATGAGTGACCGGATATCATGTGGATTATGTTTAGATATTAACTGATAGTTTGAACACTGATTTCATCTGAGTTAACGCTTGATAGCAAAAAGTATTTACAGTCTTGAAGAAATGATGTACCCCGTGCGATTTGAGTTCACTCACTGTCAAAATCAGAGACATCACCATATAGCTGTTCCGGTTGTGAATGACCTTCTATTGGATTGGATTATATACAATGACTAGTAAATGAGTATTAACCAATGTGGTGTTTAGCAGAGATGGATAATGGCTAGCAGTGGAATCCAGGACGCGCGTTTCGTCCTATTTGGGACTCGTCAGCTGGATGTACCTACATCTCAGAGTTGCTGTTCACTCTGGGACGAGTCCCAAATAGGACGAAAAGCGCGTCCTGAATTCTACCGCTAGCCACTATCCATCTCTGCTAACCATGCTTGTGAATTAAGGTATATCGAGACAATACGCACAGTATGCACATATGCCAATTAGAGACTGACCAGTTGAAGTCCTAACAAATCGATGGGAAGATTCAAACAAGCAATACTAAGTTGAATTCAATGTGGTGTTTGTTTATTGCTTTATGCTTATCGAATTATATGGATCACGGTAGAAACTTAGGTCCGTGTTTTTCATCCAGTCGCTTTGAACTACCAAATTAAACACTACTTTGATAGGGTGATCTATCTTCTGAAATGATCTGAATTGCAAAGCTATCGTTTTCATTATGGATAGTATCATTGGTCTCCACTTATGTAGAAATGCTTTTTCTGAATATTCCACAAAATTTAAATTAGTCACTTCTAGTGACTCTTCTTCTAAATACATGACTTTTCAGGTTTTATAGCCTGTTACTGTTGTCTCTTTTGTCCGGCTGATGTCTAACCATGTCAGTGATTTACTATTTTTTGAATGTCTATCTGTATGGCTAATCTGCATTCGGTTGCGTGGAGAAACACATAAAATAATATATTGATTTATACATTTAAAACAGTAATTTTAAAATTGAATCAACTGCTAATTGACATTTTATCCACACAATAAAATAAAATATGAATTTCACATATCCTGTTAAACGTTTCATGATAACAATTCAGTTTGTTCTTTTTTGAAAAGATAAAGAACACGTCACTAAGGAATTATATAATGTGTGTTTCTATAAATATGCGATTAGTTATTAGTCGTGCGGACATATTTTTTTGGAAATTGTTAAAAAAAACATCAGTTGAATTAACCCTTTTATTCCATATATACCAAAAAATGAGGGTGAAGACAACTAGTGTAGCAGAAGTGTCTGCGTCAGTAGGCCTCAGTATAAACAAGGGAAAACGCAAGATGATGAAATAGAACACAGAGAAGCTCTGGCAGAAATGGAAACTTTCACATATATGGGCAGCATCATCGATGAACAAGGAGGATCGGATGTAGACGTAGAAGAAAGGTTTGGCAAATTAATGGCTGCATTCCTACAGTTGAAGAACATCTGTAACTCAAACAGCTGTCAGCCAACATCAGTTAGAATCTTCAATACGGACGTCAAGGCTGCTCTGTTGTACGGAGTCGAAACTTGGAGAACGACCACAACCATTATCAATACAGTATAGGTATTTACAAACAATTGTTTACGTAAGATACTCAATGTCCGTTGACCGGATACCATCAGCAACAAGCTACTGTGGGAGAGAACAAACTAAACTGCATCTGAAGAGGGAATTAGGAAAAAATGTTGAAGGTGGATAGAACGTACATTACGAAAATTATCAAATTCTATCACGAGGCAAGTACTAACTTGGAATCGTGAAGGGAAATGAAAGAGAAGAAGACCAAAGAACCCATTGTGCCAAGAATTGGAAGCTAACATTCAAAGGATGATTAGCAACTAGAAACAACTAGAATGGATTGATCAGGACAGAGTTGGATGAAAAATCCTGGTTGGCGACCTGGGCTACTCCACGAGGGGTAACAGGAGTAAGTAAGTACACATGTACGTAAGCTAAGGAAAATCCCATCAACAATCGTTTATGATGAATTTTCTAATCCTAAAATTATAGTCATATTCTGAACTTTAATGTATTCGATATACAAGTTTTATTTAAAAAAGCATTTGAATGAACCATCCTTGTAGCACATGCCGAATTACCCCACTTTATTTTTTATTTGTAGTTACGATGTAACAGATTGAAATATACACAAGGCAAGTTGTTTTCATAGGTAATCTCAAATTATTATCTTGAAAATCCTTTTTTTAAAATGTTTTCACTATTTATTAGTTTAACTTTTGAATTTATCGAAGCGTCTAAACCACCCAGTTGATATAAACGCGAAATCAAAGTTCACAAAACAACGATTTGTATAAGAAAAAACGGTTCTTTATTGAATAATATACATAAAGTAGGTACTGAGTCTGTAAGTTTGAAATAAAAAAAGGCTTCCTGTACTATTGACATAATGAGCAATTACAACACACGATAGTGCAAATGACAGCTGTTAGCTGTGTCTAAACTTGATAACAGTTTATCAACAAGCAAAAACTAAACCAAAAGTAAACAATATGGAAACAGTTACATTTAAAAAAAGAATCAAACGATTGCTTAAAACTGCAAATAACTTCTGCAAGGATTGATAGAAAGTAATTACAATGATAAATACAATATGTTATAAGTATAGGTAAATATTTTAGAATATTACGCGATAAACTTTCGTTACAACATACGAGTGGTTTTTAGGGGAACAACTGGTTACTCTGTATTAATAAGTAGTATAAAACAATACACAAAAACGGCGAGGGGAAGTGATAGACGATAGAGAATGTAAGACAGTCTTAACATTAACTTGAATGAATATTAGTAAACTGATTAAATATTAATCATCCTGTTCAGTGATTACATACGTTCTTAGGTAATGATTAAATAGTTTTGAAAAGAAAAAGTTATCTCATAAGTTAGCTACAGCAGTAAATTGATGACAGCCAAGAATGTCATACTGTATGGATATTTGTAAATGATAATTTTCGATCTTGAATAATATTAAGAATTTGGAAATTGATCTTTATCATGGACCGAATTCATCTGAAATGTTAGTTTAAACGGTATTTTCTTCTTAATTTAAAAACTCCCTAAAGATTACATCTAAACTCTTCAGGCTTAATTGTTGTCATGATCAATGATTTGGATTTATTCAATTTGAAATCTATTGTAATAATCATCTCATCCCATAAGTGAATCATTGACTCATTAATATTATTGATGGGATTCCACTGATTTCACTAGAACCTAATTAATCTACCTTGAAAAACATAAATAATAAGACAACTACTTTTTTAATGTGAATACTTCATCAAGCTAACAGTGATTTTATACCACAGATCACCACCAAATAGAAGGATATAATCAGATGAGGAATTCCATATTAGAACAGATTAGATGTTCAGTGACCTAAATATTTCTATATTTCTTCAAATAAAAACAATCAACTTTGTATTGTACCAATCTCCTTAAATCTTCAAATCAAATATTCAATAATTCATAGGTGTCTCAATGACTAAAAAAATTCTTGATAAGTTATTTCAATTAGTATTCAATGGAGGACAAAAAAATGCTACATCTCAATCAACTACAAATTCCATCTAAATAATGTTTAGCTTCTCCACCCACATATACATTCTCTACATATTCTAGTTTTCTTTCTAATATTGATTGGTTTCATGTTACCAAAAATAAAGAATGATTCATTGTTGTCATGATAAATTCATATTGAATAAATTTTTCAAATAACTAATCCAAATAACTATGATCACTAGTGACTGAGTTTGTGAGGTAAATCGTGGAATTCTAGTGAGAAGCAGTGACCAGTGAAGTTCAAACCACGTCTGTTGTGAGATAGGAACTCACTGAAGACAATTGGTGAACGGTCACTCAACTTCGTGGATCAGTTGAAGTCAGACATAAACACCATCGGATGCCGGCACGGTGTTCTATCGGTTAAGTGTTCTGGAGCGAGACTGGTAGGTCCTTGGTTCGAATCTTGTAAAGCAGGGTCGTGGAAGCGTACTGCTGAGGAGTCCTACGATAGGCCGTCCAGTGCTTCCAGGTTTTCCTTGGTGGTCTAGCTTCAATTGACTCACGCTTGCAACTATGATAATGCCTGGAAGTCAAGTTTAAATTTTAATTGTAAATAGAAGTTTGTTGATTTCGCTCTTTATTTTTTGATATTTCAGTTGGTCACGTGAAAACGCCTAGTAAAGTATTATTTTGGCCACAGATACAATATAAATATACATTACCTCAATCAGTAGATTTTATTACACCTTATTCATCAGTGAAAAATTTCAAGCCACAACAAGTATTTGGATCATTTTATACCAAGTATAATGCTACAAAAATAAGTAGTTATATTGAACCAAATAGCAATTTAAGACATAATATTGATAAGAAAAATAACACTATCAATTATACTACACCAATTATATGGTCTCCATTAGGTTGTTCACCTAGTCTGTCGTCAGCTATCATTATTCCTTATCGTAAAAGAATACAACATTTACGAGTATTAACAGATCATTTACATGGATTTTTACGACATCAAAGAATACCGTATACCATTTTTATTATTGAACAGGTAAGTGGTAAATACTCAGATACTATATTTTATAGTATCTACCTTTTGAGTTTCGTTTATTACAGAAAAGTGTACATATTATTTGTTATCATTGTCAAAGTATTTCAAAGCCTGAATAAATACTTTTAAAGAGATTTTAAACAAATTGAATTCATTCTGAAAACCAATCAATATACAAGCTTATGATTTCAGATTATTTGCATCAGGCTTCTAAATGCTACATATGTCCTTACAAATTGTAGTTCAGCGCTTATGTTAAGCCCACATAGCTTATTCTAGCTTCCGGATAGGCCAATTTATTCACTCTTCTTTAGTCATATTTTGACCATGTTAATTATTCACTTAATAATAATTCTGTTTTTATATGATTGTATGTATGTGTTAGTTGCTTAACCCAATCATCACATATCTGTTGTATCTTAGTTTTGTTCTAACAGTAAATATTGATTAACATTTAATTATATTGAGTTGGCTAATACGCCTTCTTTAATCTGCCTCTCTGTTCACTTTTCGTTTCGTCACCCTGATTCCCTGTTCAAATCACTGAGTACATGAAATATACATATTCAAAATCCATATTCATATTTTACTTATTTGATTCCGTTATTATTCACTAACGCGAATTAAGTCGATAATTATAAACAAGAATATACAACATGTGTATTTCAATAACAATCATTTACATGATCAACCTGGAGTTAGATTAAAGGCCACTAAAACATCTACACATTAGTTAATATTAATATTTACATACAGTTGATTTATATTACAAAATTTAAACAAAATAAAAATGATAATATTTATAGAATATAGTGAATTCAATGTATTCCATTGCTTTCTATTTACCTAGATACAAGTTATTTCTAATCATTAACAAAATGTCCAATCTGACAAATGAATTGTCCTTGATTGAATAGATTATTTTAAATGTAAAAAAAGAAAAATTAAGAATAAAACTTCCACAAAAGGTTTTTGATTATTATTTAAGGTGACAATTCTTGAATAATTGAGATAGTATTATTATTGTAAAACGAAACAACACTTATTCCCAGAAATGTAGAAAGAAAACGACGTATTAGTGTGAACCAGTCAATTATGATTACAATCAGTTAAAAACAAGGAATAAGAAGGTGACAAAATGCTTATTTCGATTTTGTTATTAAAACAGTTGAAAATTAACCACTGACAATGTTAATAAAGCGGTCAGAATTAAACGAAATGATTACTGTGGCCTCCGTGAAATTTAATACAATAAAACTGGACTGGTTATTGATTACTCTCAATACAATAATTTTGTCAACGTTATGCTCCGTGTCTTGAAGGTGATGTACTATCTACTACGATAGATGCTTTGTCCTTGAAAGATGAAATTACTGGGAATATGTTCAGTAACACTAGTAGAGCCCTGTCTTTATGTTCATCTGAGGTGTATGCCTTTGTATGCGTATATACGCTATATTCATTTAGAAGTGGAAGAAATCCGATACTTATCTTATTTTGTTTATATAACTGAGTATAGTGTTGTGTATAATGGAACCAGTTTCTAAGCGGACAATGTACTTTTTAATTCTGTTCTTAGTCTTCGAATAATATTATTCATGATTTGATAACCCTTGAACGGTAGACAAACAAAAGCCTGTTTCTTTTCTAATTAAAAAGTTGGAATATTTGATTCTTAATTTTCCTACATTTAAAATAATCCATTCAATGGAACACATTGAATTCATTGTATTCTGAAATTATTATCGTTCTTACTTAGTGCAAATATATTTCATTCTATAATATTTTTTTAGATTTTAGTTAAATCCCTTTATTATTTTGTAACGTACGAGCTACTTCAGTTGTTAGACTTGAAACGTTAGTTTTATTTTACAAGTTAAGAAAAGTATTCAATCACCAATCAGTTTAGATATTTTAAATTTACTAACACAGGGAAAAACACTGTATGTTGATGTAGGTTTGTTCTCTGAACTGGATGGTTTGGTCGTGGAGCTTTCATCCTCCTTCTGAACGACATCATCAGCACAAACTTCGGGTAGAAGTGAAGTGTTTGAATTTCTCCACATGTGATTCACAGCTTGTCCTGTGCACTTCGGTGTTGATTGGTTCTTATTGACCTTAAATCTGTCTTTGTTTTGGTTGTGTCTCCTATTGGTTTGATCTTTGTTCCTATCTTCCTGCATAATCTTCTTGATTGGTTGATAAATTGGATTGATTTTAATGTGCTTGTTTATTGCTGATTGACCTGAGTGCCAAGCTTCTAAAAATTCTCTGGTATTTTTGGAATTGCCTCTGCCCAAAATCTGCACATTTTTCCAGTCGAATGTATGTCCGTAGTTGTCCACGTGTATTGATATGAGTGAAGAAATGTCGTGGCGTTTGACTGCTAATTGGTGTTTATGTAGGCGAAGATGCATGGAGCGTTCGCTTTGTCCGATGTAGTGTTTGTCGCAGTTGGTACAATTTATCTTGTAGATGATGTTTGTTTTGTCTTCTTTTGCCATTTCATCCTTTGGTTTGCATAAGATTAAGTGGAGGGATTTTGTTGGTTTATGGGCTACACCCACCTGAGCTACAAATCTTCTCCACCATCTCAACACTGTATGTTCCCATATCGAATTTTGGTAATTGGCCGTTATTTGTTCCTGAATTTAGGCATCACCTTAAAATTGATAAAATCTATCAGTAAATCTGTTGGAAATGATTTATAGACTCTGAATACGTATGTCTCGTTCCCAAAATATACAAGAACTCATTGTTTACCTAATCACTACTGCCTAGATAAAGTCATTTTCTAAACAGCTTTTCAAAAGCTAAATTATAATTTGTTTGTCTGTTGACCTCTAACAATTTTTTAATTAAATACATACATTTTATTTGACTTTTTAGATCGGTGAAAGAAAATTTAATCGTGGTGCTTTATTAAATGCTGGATTTCTTGAAGTTTCCAAATTCAAAGAATATGGCTGTTTCATTTTACATGATGTAGATAAACTACCAGAAGACGATCGAATTATTTATACATGTGGACCAAATCCAACACATTTGTCAGCTTCATTAAGTACTTTTAATTACAAGTTAGTTCTATTTTGAATAAATTTTTGGAATGTTCTGTCATAAGAACATGTGTGAAATCCAAAAAAACACTGGTTCAAATCTTGTTTGTACTAATGAAACATAAATTTCACATGGTTGAAGATAATGAGCAAAAATTCTTGGTTTTAAGTTACATTCACTCGACAGTAGAAACTACATTGGTAATTATAGTTATTTTAGCCGCTTCTGACGGCTAAATCGATATATCCTTGGTATCCTTCTTTCCAGTCTGTCTGCACTTCTTCCTCTCAAATCTTCTTGAATAGAACGTGAAACATGTTTGCAGTTACCATTGTGTCTGACATCAGTGCTTCAGCTGTTATGTTGTATTATTCTGCTGCTTTCCCACTTTTGATTTATCCGATGGCCATCTTGATTTCTTCAGTCACTGGTGGAGTGACATCTATGGGAAGGTTTGTGTGTTCTGCTTCCATGTCCAGGGGAGTCAACGGAGTTGGTCTATTCAAGAGTTCCTTTAAGTGTTCTACCCATCCGTTGGTCTGTTCTTGAAACTCAGTGATTGTCTTTCCTTCTTTCTCCCGGACGATCTCTCTGGTTTGCAATATTACCCCGCTAGTTTCTTCGTTGTGTCACATAGTTGTTCCATATTTCCTTCTGTTTCAGCAGCCTCTCGTAAAACTCATCTTTAACGTCGTCGTTTCTACTATTAGTGAATACATAATAATGGTTAACATTCATTGTGATCCCCCTCCTTCATCGTTTTGAAGGATGCTTTGATAATTGTAGATTCATGAGATTCCTATCACATCAGTGTTTTTTCATGCTTCTTTGGACAGCATCAGTGCAAGTCATTGTGTGTACGAATCATTTTCTTCTTCATGACCAAGATGCTACAGCATCTCTACTGAATCTAATCTATTCTATCTAGTTTGCATCCAATGGGTTTCACTTATTGTGAGAACCATCAAGTTGTATCTCTTCATTTCCACTGCTTTTTGACTGATCCTCCCAGTCTCCTTCATTGTCCGGAAACTCCATTTACCAATAATAATGGTTGCTTTGGTTGTTAGAAGGGTCAGTGGCCTCTTGATTTCAGAAGAATTTCAACTTTCACAATGAGGCCTCATAATTCTTGTAAATGGAGATCCTTCAACCTCCAGATCAGATTTTGGATGGTACAAATTTTTTTATTTGTTAGAGTTTTTTTGCAGTTTTATTTTCTTCTGGGCAGGGTTACTGATCACATCTCCAACTCGCCTTTCTTTATTCGGGTTTAGAATTGGCAATAACCCTAGGAGAGCTACACAGGAGGAGGAGGAGGTTTATACAAAATCCTTAAATTGTTTTAGTTAAAGACATATGTAAATTTCATTGTAAAAAAATAAATAATAAAAATTTTATTATTCATTTCACAGATTAATTTATGAAAGATTTTTTGGTGGTGTTGTTACATTTACTCGTGATCAATATCTTAAGATTAATGGTTTTTCAAATTTATATGAAGGATGGGGTGGTGAAGATGATGATCTTTTATTACGTGTTGAACAATCTGGATATAATTTAAGCCGAATCAATGTATTAACTGGTCGTTATTATGCATTAAGTCATAATACAGATGAATTGAATGAAAAGAATCCAGAACGGTTCGTTATTAACGAATTATGTATATATGCATTTCATATTCTCTAAGTCATATTTAAAACAAGCAGAGTGAAAACTTATTTGAATAATATTTTTCTTATAAATTAATATTTGTGTGATAGTTGAAATCGTAAGACTGTGGTGTGGGCCACTTATATCCACATAAGTAGTATATGATGATGGTCAGACATAGAATGTATTTTGGCAGAAGATCGATAAGGAAAGAACAGGAATGAAGCACAATCGGTATGAGAATGCATGAACAATGAAATCGGAGAAGACAGACTGATATTTGCAGAAGGAACAGTTAAGATTAAGACAATTGATTGTTATTTTGCTAATTAACTGTTTACTGTATGGTTATCAGAATTTACTTAGTCTGTAATTCGGTTGTCCCCAGTCGTGTTCTTGTTCACTACAAGACGACATCGAATGTTATAAATTGGATTTAGCAATATCATGGATATTCATTAGGTGCTCTATTGACTGTTATTCATCAACAAGTTTAGTCATAACCAATTATGTTTGATATTATTATTAATTTATTGTACGAGATAATTATTTTTAGCCTAAAGTTTATCAGATTAGCTTTTCATCTAGACTTTATAGAAGCATTATAGTCAGTGTGATGTATAGTGTTTAAGATTTAGTGAATGGATTCTCTTAGGCTACAAAATCATCGGTTGCTAAAGACAATATGTGACTGATATGATTTGTAATCAATCACAGTAACACAGATGCAATCCTTGCTCTTCTTTTCCTAAATACTGCATAGTTCCTTACTCGATGTAAGTCATTATCTCTTCAGTTAAATAGTTAGTGTTATCATGATTCACTGATTTATAATTTAACTTGAATGTGTTTGTTTTCTAACTGCATCCATTTTTGGTATGATTACGTATTAAGTTACTCAAAGTATACACCTTATTCTATATCTTCCGTTTGAATTGATTTTACTTGGCATTAACATATATATTTCTAAATAGCAAAATATTTGAAATATAAGAAACATGTAAAATGAGAAACTATAATGTTGTAGAGCCTAAATTTAGAAGTAATGTCAAGTAAGGTTTTGATTTATGATAGACTGAATAGCATGATTCCAAGATTATTTTTTTAATACTTTATTGATACATTTTTGGTTAACTACTCGAATTTTACTGGTTATATAGATGCAAAAATCATTATTCATGTCTAAGTTGACTATATGAATCAAAAAACTTGTTTAACTTGTTAAGTTAAAAAAAGTAGTAATTTTTTTTCTCTTTCAGTTCACTAATAAGGTTTCACTGGTAAGAGACAATAAAGCAGTTATACATTTTAAATGAAGATTGGATACATCTCAGGAATTAATTATCAGAGGTTACCATAATGACTAAGATTTAAAGATTATGATTAGTTAAGCTCATCTATCGTATTGTATGTAGTTTTCAACAATTAACATTTTCACAGTTGAAATCATGAGTCAATTGAAGCTAGACCACAATCGAAAACCGGGAAGCACTGGACGGCCGTTTCGTCCTATTATGGGACTCCTCAGCAGTGCGCATCCACGATCCCGCACCCGTGAGATTCGAATCCAGGACCTACATCAACACCATTGGATGCCGGCTCAGTGGTCTATCGGTTAAGGGCTTCGGCTCGAGACTGGTAGGTCCTGGGTTCGAATCTCACGGGTGCGGGATCGTGAATGCGCACTGCTGAAGAGTCCCATAATAGGACGACACGGCCGTCCAGTGCTTACAGGTTTTCGATGGTGGTCTAGCTTCAATTGACTCATGATTTCAACTGTGAAAATGCTAAATTCTCCACAAAACCTCCTCTGAATTAACATTTTAACATGATAACTTCAATAATTAACTTACGTTTTCGTTTTTAACAAAATTCCCAATATTCAAATGCATTTAGTTTCAAGTTGTTAAAAACTTCAGAGAGTCGATTTAAAAGTGATGGACTGAACAGCTTGAAGTATACTGTAACTCAGTCGAAATCAATGTACAATGGTCTAATTTATTGGATTTCCATTGATATACATCCTAACAAGTAGTAATAATTTAATGTACAAGTAAGTTGTGTCTAAGCTTTCATAAACATGATCTTTTGTATTGTTTGGAGAAAATTTTATCATATCACTTTCGAATCTCTTTTAAATTAATACTCTATTTCTCCATATAAATTATTATAAAAAAATCAAAAAAAAACATTGGAGAGAAAAGCAAATCTTTGTATCAAAAATAAAGTGGTTGAAAGCATATGGAAAAAATTAGATATTTATTGATCGAAGTAAGAACAAACTGGAGGATAAGCAAAGATGGATAGTGGCTAGCAGTGAAATCCAGGAAGCGCGTTTCGTTCTATTTGGGACTCGTCAGCTGGATGTACCTGCATCTCAGAGTTGATGTTCACTCTGAGAATCTAACCCAGTACCTTTTGCTTCAAACGCCATAGTGTTATCCACTCAGCTACTGAGTCCTGATAGCCACTCGCTTGTGCAATGGGGTGAAGTTTGAATTCATTTAGTATTGTTTGTTTGAATCTCCCCATTGATGTCTAGGACTGAAGTTGAACATCAACTCTGGGATGCAGATACATCCAGCTGACGAGTCTCAAATAGGACGAAACGTGCATCCTGGATTCCACTGCTACCCACTATCCATTTTTGCTTATAATGCTTGTATATTAGACTATATCGGGGCTATACGCACAGTATGCACATATGCCAATAAGAGACTGATCAATTGCAGTCCTAAACATCAATGGGAAGATTCAAACAAGTGAATTTAAACTGGAGGATAGTTTAGAAAAGGCAATTGAATTATTGACTATATTGTTAAATACGTATTTCTCAGATGTCTTCTGTTTTTTGCTAGAAGTAGTCAGAACTGTCATTCTGTATTTTCACAGGAAACTATGAATATTAAAAAAAGCTAATTTAATTTATTTCTGAAGTTAAAAATCATAGAAACACTTTATAGATAGATAATTCTTTAGTATCACCAAGACTTAATGTGCGTTCATTTGACTGTTTAATTTCAGAAATAGTTTGGTAAATACATGTTTGCTTCCTCTATGTATTGCACTAATGTTCATACATATTTTTAATGATTGGTTAAAACAGAGTAGTATTAGTAGCAATGTAGGGAACAAAACATTGTAGGGAAAGCAGATCGATTGTTTAGTGCACGATCACACAGCTACCCAGCAGAAATATGAAGATTATTGATTATATACATCATTTGCACACTTCCAACCAGTCGTCTCTTACAAACTTCATAGTTTGTTCATTCTTGTTATTATTCTCTTAGTTTCAATTCCTTCGACACTCTGCTCTCAGGCATTTCTGTTGTATCCCCTGGCGAATTATGAATCATAAATCTGATGTCCATTTATGGACAAATGTAATACGCCTATTCCTATTGGATAGTTGTTAAATGAGTAACCTAAATCTGATGTCTATTTATGGACAAATATAATATGCCTATTCCCTATTGGATAGTTGTTAAATAAGTGACCTAATCGTTCCGTGTTCCTCTTATCATAACCTTTATTTTGACCTTGGAACTATTATTATTGATTACTTTCCCCCTAGCTACAGCCACATTGGCCAATTGCTGTACAAATGTTATTTTTCTATTTTTTGGTATAATTGGGTCTGTTTGGTTAGTATATATAACCCAGTGTGCTTGTGAATAATGATTCATATTTCCGAGGCTGTTATTTGTGTTCTGGACTCAACTGGCTGGGCTAGGCAGTTAGGAAGGACCGAATAGCAATCAAGACTGCTCGTACGTATTTTCTGTATCATTGCACGTTTCATATACAATAACGAATTGTTATACGAGTCATAACAATTTCACTTCCGATTGGAGATGAATACTACTTATATCTTTCGACATAAGTAGTATACACCACAGTGGTGATATAAATACTAATTTTCACCTGCCAACATGATGTGTCTGCAGTCTGAGGGAGTTTTTATACTAAATAGGATTGAGACCAGTGTTACACATTGTTACGGTCAAAGATATTACTAATGAGTTATCTGTCTTGCGGCTGGCCTTCTGTACGACTGAATTACATTCAGTGATTCTTATAACTGAGTAGTACTTTGTGTCTAGCTCTTCATTCTGACAGAATTATATCGAACAAATTTATTATACTAAAACTTGAGTTAACAGAAGGATTTCAAAATGTTTAGCATTAGTGTTATACAATTCTGTTATGCTAAACGTTATACCTCTATTGATATCCAAATTAACTAACAGTCCTATTCAGTTGTTTGTCTTGATAGATCCAAACTGTTCATGTGGATTTATCGATGCGACTAGAAAGAAGCAACATGATAATTTCAAAATGATTAGTATATTGAGCATATTGTTACCAATAATTTAGAATGATTGCAAAAATACATTGTATTGATGTTACTCATCTGAAATAAACTACATTGATATGATTTTGTTAAATAGTTCAATATGCAAACTGTTGTTTTAATAGGTTTATACAATGAGCTTGATTTTCAAATTCAAATGAAGCGTGTTTATTGAAAATTGGTTCGTCAATTTTTTTTCAAAAGATTTGGAAATGTTTCTATACATTTGAAAGAAGGAGAATAAACAAAATTAGGATTTTAAAAAAAAAACATTTAATACCGAGATTTGGTGATAACTCTGATACGATTACTGACAGTGAAAATTTTTACCAGCGATCATTTAACAAATATATCTTTTCATCAAGACATATTTACTAAAGCATCTGTCTCACTACTTTTGAACTTAATTGTTAATAATTTCTATTGATTTAATGTTATTAATAAATTACCAATTACATAACAAATAACACACAATTACACGATTAATCATATATCACAGGTTGAGAATAAATGGGAAAACATCTATTTGTTTATTTTTTGTCATGAGCACATGTATAATGATGATGTTGATGATGATGATAGAACTTGTTTATCTTTTATCATTAAAGCAAAATTTCTTGAAGACACAATCTAAAGAATTTCTTTTCATCGTACCATTCAATTATTGTAATAAAAAGCCTTTTGTTGATTATTTCACATTATCCAATATTGTGTACATATCATAATTTATGATATTTCAATGGAATCTATCCATTTTCAATCGTCAATCGTTTGTGTTGAGTTTTTTCAATACAAAATACTGAAAATTGTGAATATTTTTTCTTGTGCATATTTCTCATTTTATATTTTAATAAGTTATGGTAAATTTCTTTAAAAAAAACAAACTACAATGATGTCTACTTGTTTCATATTATCATCTATATATTTTTTTACTGTCTATATAACTTTTTTGTATGAAGAAGATTATTTTAACATCTATTGTTCCATATGATTTTATGCATTTTCAGGATATAACACAGTTGTTGAGATGTTTACTTACTTACTTACTTACTTACACCTGTTACCCCTCGTCGAGGAGCATAGGCCGCTCATCAGCATTCTCCATCCAACTCTGTCCTGAGCCTTCCTTTCCAGTTCTTTCTTTTCATATCTGCTTCTATTTCCCTACGTAATATGTTCTTTGAGCTTCATCTTTTCCGCTTCCCTTCTGGATTCCAAGTTAGGGATTACCTTGTAATCCACATTGGTGACTTCCTTAATGTATATCCGATCCACTTCCAACATCTTTTCCTAATTTCCTCTTCAGCTTGAAGCTGGTTTATCCTCTCCGATAGAACGCTTTTGCTGATAGTATCCGGCCAATGGATGTTGAGTATTTTGCGTAGACAACTGTTTATAAATACTTGTACCTTGTTGAGATGTAGTAATATGACATTTATCTTCTTTAGAAACTGAGCTTTTGATTAATTCTAAATATTAAATAATACTATACAAGCATAGTGTTTGTTAGAGAATATGAATCAAAATGTATTATATAACCTTTAAAATAAATTGTTTGCTTTATGTTAACTTTAGTTGGTATTTCATTGAACTTGTTGTGGGAGTTCTTGTGAATAATTAGAATGGAATAGATAATTATTCTTTCAAATAACAGATGAGAATGAAAGTATACATAAGCAAAGATGGATAGCGGCTAGCAGTGGAATCCAGGACTCGCGTTTCGTTCTATTTGGGACTCGTCATCTGGATGTACCTGCATCTCAGACTTGATGTTCACTCTGGTACTCGAACCCAATACCCTTCACTTAAAACACCATCGCGCTAACCATTTAGCTACTGAGTCCTGATAGCCACTTCCTTGTGCAATGGGATGAAGTTTAAATTCACCTGGTACTGTTTGTTTGTATCTTCCCAATGATGCTTAGGACTGCAACTGGTTAGGCTATATCGAGGCATTACGCATAGTATGCACATACGGTCAATATGAGACTCACCAGTTGCAGTCCTAAACATCAATAGGAAGATCCAAACAAACAATACGAAAGTATATATAGTTTTTGTAAGAATAACTAATTTAATTGATCTTAATGAGTGGAATATTTTCTTTTATGGAACTTAAAAATGTCGATATATTATTTTCACTTCAAATAAATGAGACCATTTTTTCCTACTGTTTTCATATTAAAACCTAATTATAGTATCGGTATTTGGAAGGTATCTATGTAAGATATACTGTTGAACTAACAGCTAATAAACAGGTCATCGGATTCATAAATAAAAGTTGTCTTTTATGATATTCAATGAAATGAAAATACAACAGTTCAGCTTCACATATTATTGTTATCATCTAGTACATTGACATTCTCTGTAATGTTAGCTATTTATCACTTTATAGTTAATCTTATTTTGGATTATAAATTTAAAACTGTCTAGCGAGTTGAGAATTCAAAATAAATAACTATGCTTAAGTCTATACAAATATTCGTTAACATTAGAACGAATAGTTTGAAAAAAATTGGGCGCGGAGTATAGAGAAGTCATTATATGTAAAAATTATATTTAAAATAATCCTAGCGTTTGAAATTTAAATAGTTCCAATCGCTGGTATAAAGGGAACATGATAGTTATTATGAACAAATTAGACTACGAGAAAAAAGCCAGGAAATATCTACAAGAGGAAACAGAAAGTAGGACAACGCTTAACAAACCTAAGGCTGAAACCAGTAAAATCTTACAGTCGATAAAGGTCAAACTAAGACCGTCATTATGGTTCTCATTATATCTAAAGAGTTGTATCCCTTGTAGATTCTACGAACTTCCAAAGATTCACAAGAATAAAACTCCACTAAAACCCATGGTTAATTTTACGAACTCACCGACATACAATCTAGCAAATTACTTAGTTAGGATACTTAAACCATACGACAAATTAATTAATCATGGGATTAAAAACTCTATGAAATTCAAGCATAATATTGATACCATCTATATAGAAGAGGAAGAAATGATGGCAAGTTTTGATTTATCTTCTTTTTTTACTAATGTATCCATCAATAGAGGATTGGATATTACTTATGATTGTTTAGAATCTGATTCAGGTTTGAATTTACGATGCCCATTAGATCCTTTGACTTTATGAAGTGCTTGGTGACCTTTACAAGCAGAAAGAAGTTGTAGCAATGGGTTCACCAGTTTCTCCGATTGTAGCGAATTTATTCATGCATTCCCTAGAAACCAGCGAGATCACAAGATGTGTACGTCCACCAAAAGTCTATTTACAGTATGTAGATGACATTTTTATCATTGAATAGAATGGTTTAGAAAAATTGCTTGAAAATATAAACAGCATTTCGAAGACCATTAAGCTAACAAAGGAAGGAGAATCCAGTGACCACAAACTAGCGTTTCCCGATTGTTTGGTTGAACGAAAACATAATAATAAGTTGAAAATAAATGTATTCGGGAAATCAACACATTCTGATAGATACTTAGATTATGGTTATACTCATGCGTTTTTACGAAAGTCACATTGGTAAAAACTTAAATTAACAGAGGTACTAATCTCGTTACAGATAAGAAAGACCAACAGGTTGAATTGAATAGAGTTTTGTCTACACTCAGGGTTATCAACTACTTTAAAGAGTTTTTAAAGAAGATTATTAGAAATGAAAGAAAAAACCAAAACAGAATGTATACCGAAAGATTGGTAGTCCACAGTGGTCATCCCATACCATAGGAAAACATCGGAAGAAATCAAGATGATTCTAAACAATCATGATATAAAAGTGTGCTTTCGAGCTTGTGATACCTTAAGATCAGCATTAGTAAGAATTAAGGATAGGTTCCTAAGGGAAAAACAACGGAATGTTGTCTATGAGATCAACTATCATAATTGTAATACAGCTTATATGAGAGAAACTTTTAGACAATTGAATGTGAAGTTGAAGAAACACAAACAACGTTTGAAAAATGATCCTGAATCCTTAGTTGATCTAAAGAAACTTGAGAATAGGTCAGCGATAGCGTTACATGCGTTGGAAACAGTATACAAGATCAATTTTGAAGGGACCGAAATATTTCAGAAATGTTTTAAAGTACATAAAATAAAACTGACAGCAGAAGCTCTCTATATATGGGCGAGCAAGAACAGTCTGAATAGAAATGATAGTGTTCAACTAGCAACTGATTGGTAAATATTCATTAACAAGAAATTGAACCCATTCTCCATTCTAACCTGTTTATTTTACATGCATCGTTATTCTGACCGAACTTAATGTTGGTTATTTGAACAACACAAGGGGGTTTTTGTGGAGATTTAGTAATTTTATAGTTAAGATCATGAGTCAATTGAAGCTAAACCACCATCGAAAACCTGGAAGCACTGGACGGCCGTTTCGTCCTACTATGGAATTATTGATTGAATGAGCTAATCCATGTCAGGTAGAGACAGGTATCTACCTCAGTACATTGGAAGTTGGTTGCGCGATTTCGTGGATTGGTTAAGGTTAGACATTAACACCGTTGGATGCCAGGTCAGTGGTCTATCGGTTAAGGGCTTCGGCTCGAGACTGGTAGGTCCTGGGTTCGAATCTCGCGAGAACGGGATCGTGGATGCGAACTGATGAAGAGTCCCATAATAAGACGAAACGGCCGTCCAGTGTTTCCAGGTTTTCCACGGTGGTTTAGCTTCAATTAACTCATGATTTTAACTATAAAAAAAAACACAATTGTGTGTTTGATGATTCTCATTTTACATGTACATTGATGATTCAGAAACAATTTTTCAAATTTCAACTTCCACTTCTACTTTTTCCTTCATACAAAAAAAATTAACTTTGAATATCAACTATTAATAAATCAATCTTACACAAACATACACACAATTCATTCAGTCATTTATTTTCACATCGTGAAGTTTTCATATGATTCGCATTTAACGGACTCATGTTATCCTATTTACTAAAGTCAACGTCTAAGTATGATTGGATTAGCACAGTTTAGATTTGATTTGTTTTGATTATCGAACGGTATATATTTCCTTGGTTTTGATTATTACTCTGAAGAAGTCCTGACAAGTTCACTGGATGAAACGTTGGAATTATTCAAATTCCAATCGCTGAGATTATTTCAAATATAATTTTCACATATAATGACTAAGTCTCTGATTTGAACTAATCAATGATAAATGAGACTTTGAAATTGAATTTTTGATTGATGAGATATATTCGAGCTGAAAGCCCCCCTAATAGTATCCGAGATCAACTCAACTGATTGAAATGTAGATACTGACAAAATGAACATACTTCCTACAACCTACTTACTTTGTGAAGAACAACGACTACAGTTTTCTTTTGAAACGAAGCAAATATTTACATAGCGCTGTTAACTAGTTTGTAATAATAAAGCTCTCTATTATTAGTACAACACGGCTAATATCAATGTCACAAAACGATTTTATTTTCAATAGTGATCTAGTAATAAGCTACATAAATAACTTCTTGTCATGTATATATACATTCAGTGTATGTATTGTTATTTCTATACATTAGACATATAATTTAATATCATTGTACTTCTTTGACATTTTAAATTTGTAATAAAAACTTCCTAACCAAATAACTTCTGTTTGCTTAAAAAGATACTAAGTATTTTAATGAAGTCTACGGAAAACGAGTACACAGTTAAATAATTCAAGTGTACTGAGTAGAGAAATTTTGACATATTATTTCTTTTATGCATCAAACAGAATATTCTCATATTTTGTATTTCGTCTTCATTGAGACAAATAATAAATGGACAATTCTACTGAAACAAAATACTTTAGACAGATGAGAATATGCTATTTCAATAAAACCTTTCTTTTCACAAAACACAAACCGCAAAAATTACAAGTTAATTACGTGACTAATGTCCACTGACATTGACAATATTTGTCTCAAATGATTTTGTAATGTCTTTCAATGCTTCATTTCCTCCTAACTGATATTCACTTTCCAGTTGAGGTTAATTTTGTCGACTATAAAACCTCTTTAGTGGAACAATATTACAAGTATTACAAGACTCAAATGTATATCGTTATATCCTATTTGAGGTCTTGAATGCATACATCTAAGATGCTTCATAGTAGAAAGCCATAACTTCCTAGTACTATCTAAATTTATATGTGCTTTGAGATGGAATCTTGTTTTGCTTTGTATTTATAAATTTGTTAAGACTTTTATACACTTTTGTTTTTCTACATCTGCTTTTGATTGCAAATGTGAATGCAGGTATCAGCAAAACAAGGGCAGCATCCTTACAATCGAAGAACATGTGCAACTCAGACAACTGTCAGTCAACACCGAAGTCTTACTCTTCAATGCAAACGTCAAATCAATTCTATTGTACGAAGCTGAAACTTGGAGAACTACTACAACTATTAACAACAAAGTTTAAGTATTTGTAAACAGTTATCTACTCAAGATACCCACTGTCCGATTGTCGTATGCCATCAGCGAAAAGTTACTGTGAGAGAGAACGAACTAAACCTCATCTGGAGAGGAAATTAGGAGAAGACTCTGGAGGAGGATAAGACATCCACCGTCAAACTGCATCACGATGCAATCCTTAACTCCGAATTGTGAAGGGAAGAGGAATAAAGGAAGACCAGAGAACAGATTGCGTCGGGAATCGGAGGGAGATATGAATGGAATGAAAAGAAACTGGAAACAACTAGAGATGTGAGTCCAGGACAGAGTTAGGTGGAGAATGCTGGTAGGCGTCTTAAGCTCCTTCACGAGGGTTATAGGTTTAAGATTGCGAACCATATGATTTGCCGCTAACATATTATTTCTAACTGCATTATAACATGAGTTAAAGCTGCCGAGGTTTAAGGATATCTTCCCATCTGCTCATCTTTTGTCTAATTCCATGATGGTCCTTGGATAGTGCAATATCTTCAGGAAGAACGCTGTAATAAGGCCAGTAAATTATACAACAAAGCTAGACGATTATAACCATAATAGAAACACAACTTTGCCAAGCACTTATCAATGATTGTCAATAAATTGAATGTTAAAGACAATTTCATAGTTGTGTTCTATAATTTCAGGCATTTTTCATCAAAATAATGTAATTTTTGTAGAGCGATACGTCTTACTTTATCCTTGACACTCTCTACATACCCTTCCACGTATTACATATAAGTAAGAATTGATCCGATAAGTTATATTGCAAAGTAAATTACTGCTGTGATAACAGTGAAATTACAAAATGAATTCGTCAGTCAATATTTACATTTTCAAAGATTATTTGGTTAAAGTAAACTTTTAATTCAAAACAAAAACTGCATTTTATGGAGTTTGTAACGTAAACCTATATTCAGTTAATAATCTATCTGTAATCACATGAGTGATAAATAACTGAAAAGTTAAACATAAAATTTTCTGAACAATATAATTCGACATAAAGTAGTTGAACCGATTGTCTTATGTGTAACACACCTGTGGTGTGTGAGTTAATCAATTCTCCATTTCCTGATAGGAAGTATGAGATCAAGTAGAAGATTATTAAGTGTAGATTTTAGTTGTGCATTTGAATATAAGTAATGTAAACATCAACCTATCAATCGTCATGTGTTAATCCATAAACATTTTACGAATCGTAAAAGCTGCAGTCTATTGTTAACCTATACTGTTGAATGTGGTTTTACCAATGCGAATGACCTACCGTTCCCATCGTTTACATTGACTGGTTATTCAAGACATACTTGTGTGTACTACTTAAATCAATCGTAAACGTATACACCGTATTATACATTTCATATCCTTACTCACTTACGCCTGTTACTCCCAATGGAGTATTTCATATCCATAATACACAATCCCACTTTCCTTATAGTATAAATTTTCTGCTTAAATATCGTGGTCTAGCTTCGATTGACTCATTATTTCAACTATAAAATTACTAAAATCCCCACAAAATCCCCTTTTGATATCAAGGACGTATTAGATTATCTTCGAGATAATCCCTTAGGCTTCACATATCAATTATCCTAATAACCTCTATAAAATAAATACTACCGATGTATAAATTTCAGAAGACAATACGAAGCATCGACCACAGTTTATTATTGAACAGCGTGAATCACTAAGCTAGAAGCAAACAAAATGAATTCGATTAGTAGTTTAGGCAACTAAATTTTAAGTAAGAAAAAGGGGTATGTGCATAGGCTGTCCATATTGTGATCAAGCATATACGTCCAACAGACATGATAGTAACAATACTAACACCGAGTTATCAAATTGTTACTGTTTCCAATACCAGTCTGCCAAATAAGTTAATTGAAGGGCCTGACAAACTGAACGTTAACAGATTTTAAATGCAGTAGTGGTGCTACAAGTGTCTGTAGTGTCGGTTGATAGGTTAAATTGATATACCTTATTCTAGCTTCTGGACAAGACAATTTATCTACCCATCATGAGTAACGTTTTGACCTTGTTAATTATTAACTTATCAATCCTATTTTTATATGAGCGTATGTATCTGTGTATACAATACCTTCCCTATTCATCACATTTCTATAATTTTTCATCTGATATAGATATCGATTAACGCTTGATTAAAGCGAGTTGGCTTACTCGCCATCTTCAATGCGTGTCATTTCTGCTTCTCGATCTTCAATTCGCTTCAGCCCTCTGATTTCCTGTCCAGATCAATGAATGTGCAAAATATATGTATCCGAAATCCATTCTCGTATTTGACTTATTTAACTCCGTTATTCCTCAACGCGGATTCAGTCATGTATTTATTGTAACATGTATATTCAGCGATTTTTTGTAACGACAAAATAAAGGCCTTCCCACCTACTACGATGGCATGCGCTGCCAGTCGGCGTAGTATTTCAAAAGAATACCAGAGCGACCAAAGCAACACAAGATATTAGTCCACGAACTTATAGGCTACCACCCTGAACCACATAAGTGGGGAGCAATGCTATAATTATAAATTACTATTTTACATATAGGTTAACATGGGGGCATACATCGTCTAGTACTGTAACACGCCTACATGGGCTATTATGGCTTTTGAGCAGACCAATTAATTCATCTGTTTCGAGTCATTATCCACATATATTTCGATCTTGTCAATTATTCGCTTATAACCTCGACTGTCCTTATATGAGCATACTTTTTGCTTACCACTTACTCTGATCATTACCCATTTTTAGCTTATTTTTTCTGCCTGAGTACAAACGGCGAGTCTTGCTTTATCAAATCGAGTTGAGATCCTTGCCTTCTACGTTTCGTTTCTCCCGTTGTCTAACTGCGGTAACGATTGCATGAAATATACATATAAAAAGCCCTACTCGTGCTTCACTTATTCCGTTAATCACTAATGCGAATTAAGACAGTAAATATAAAAGAGAGCTGGTGGGATATCCATTTTGTTGTAATCATATCATACGATCAAATCGGAGTCAGGTAACGGAGTCACGATACGGAAACTGACCATAGTAACACAGTTGCATTCATTATTTATCTCATAAGCTTTTAGCCTGATGCATACAACCACTGCCAGGGAAGTCCCACTCACTGTCTTCTCGCAGCTGGGGTGTTGTTTACAAAATTGAGAGGACGAAAAGCAAATGTCCAGCGCTTTAACCGGGTTGGTGGGTATAGAGGGTCCAGTTAAGGGAGTTGGAAAATCCTGATTCCAAACCAATGGTGCACATGAACTCCACGATCCTAAGGAAACAAACCATGGGACTGCTTCTTCTTACGTTGCTCCACTGTCTTGCGGGCTAGACCTTAAAATCAAAGGCTCGAGGCGTGGCCCCCTAAGAAAACTATCTGCCTCAGGTTGAGGATCCGGGCAGTACCCCAACCCTCACACAGATCAGATGATTTGTGTGGCGCATATCTATTTAAGGCCTCCTTATACCGATGTTTATGTGTTTAAATAAATAAAAAGTGTCACTTTATTACTTTTCAATTTTTTAGTCAAGTTCCTTCCTATTAATTATATTTTCATATTTCGCTTTCTAATGAAATTGATATTATTATTACTTATACTCTACTTTTCCCTATCTTGCTAATTTAAGAGGTGCGGCAACTCTGATCAATATATACTTGTACTAGATACCCAACTGCTTGAAACCAACAGACTGAAAAATCATATAAAGATAGGAAGTAGTATTAACTTAAATTCTTTGAGAAAAAATCATATCTGGCAATATGAAATTAGATAGAAAAAAAGGCAACCGGTATAGTGGTCAAATGGACTCATGAATATATAATAAATGGAGATTAGAAAAGTATGGAGTAAAAAATAGAGATATTCTTTCATTTGATAATATGAATACATCTGTTGATGATTTAAACACGAAAAAGAACGTATTTAATTTGTTAAAAATCAGTGTACTACTTGTTACACGTGAACAAGATTAAAATTTCTAAAATATTCTTAACAGCTTATGTTACTAGATGATTTGTATGTCGTTGTTCTAGGTTTTTCTATAGGTTGAATGGAAATTACTTTGGAAATGATAACCTACTAGAGCACTATGCCCAACATTTTCAACTGAAGATTTATTATAAATCCTTTTATTACTCATTCTATGTTCTCTTTTTTCTCGACAGCCACGAGGAAATATTACATTAAATGTTGAATGACTCTGTTTACCAACTAGATTTGTATTGTTTCGATCACATAGGTTAGGAATCGTAGGCACCGTTTTAGGGACATAATTGCTTTCTAATTCGTGGATGCTATAAAATGAATCTGAAGATGATGGAAGACTGATTTCAATCTTATCACAAAGATCAATAAAAGTTATTAAAGTATTTATCAATTTGGTTAGCCTAGATGTTGCATCGGGATTTCTTTCTTTAATAAGGAGAAGTTTCGGAAGCCATACTCTAATGACTGAATAGCGTCTGCTAGAGGGCTCTAAAGAATCTAACTGAGTAGCTAAAAAATGTACCAGCTTTCCAGAGGGAAACAGTGTCCAAGGCTGTGCAAAAGTGAAGTAATTCGACTGTTTATTCTCTGGTACAAGACAGTTGAGAGTTGTAATCACACCTTCAAGACTGTTAAAAGTTGACTGTATAGCATTAAAGCTGTGTACAACATCCGCTCTGTAATTAGTAGTTTTGCTACCCGAAGTCAATAACTGATCGGGCATCGTGCTTAAATTATCATAAAATTCACACAATTCACTAATAGATGAGCCATCGTTGTATATATTTGCGACAGCACAGGAAGCTACAGCAAGTCCAACAGACGACTCACTAAACACAGAAGGGATTTCAATAGAAGTATTTTTTAATTGTTGAAACCAAAATGATAAAACAACTGCCAAACTGTAAAGGTAATTAGGGATTAAATTGTTTTCCGGTAGTTTGACAAAATTCAGATTATCTTTAATAATTTCATCTGTGCTAACTTTGCTGAAATCTAAAGGAATTTGTTTGACTGGGATTCGAAACATCACTAATTTATCATTTTGTCTCGCATATTCAATAACATCAGGGTTTAATCCAACAAGTTTATTTTCCATACTTAAACTGCTTTCCAACGATACATGAATTTGATAATCTAATCTTCGAATTAAGAGAGATGTTTCATACACTGATAATGGACATTTTGGATCTTCAACTACGGTCTTGAGGAAAACACCTCGAGATGAATAGATAGATGGTTTCGGAAATACTGTTCCCTTCCTGAAATTATAAAGAAGACGAGGAGGCCACCCATTTGTGTAATCTTCATGCCATAAGTATGCTACATTGGTACCTTTTAGTGAATCAATCACATCCTCAACACTTCCATTGGATCTGAACGCCGATTTAATAGTTGAAGTATCATTAAAGTAACTTTCATCACTTAATAGACTCATAACATTTTTAGTTTCTTCGAGAGGGCAAACAAAACGAGAAGTGCCATGTATCATATCGTTTATTATAGAAGTGCGCTGTTCAACTGGATAACAGTTAATAACATCTTCTAGCGGCTTAATTGAATTTGAATCGAACTGTGAAAACCACTCAAGGAGTACAGATAATCGACGTTGTGCGTATTTTATTGTTGAATTGTTTGTTTGTAATTTTTCTTGTAATTCTAATGGAAGTCTCACATTAGAAATAACATCTGTACCAAGTAACACAGCTAAAAAAGGCAAATGAAAATCTGAAGATTTCGCCAAAATTGAAAGTTTAGGAATAAATTTGTGAAACAGCATAGCTTTTTCACCATTATTTTTACTGGAGTCATTTAACAGACTCAAATTTAAATTGGCCAGACGAAGTGGAAGAAATGTCGGACTCAAATATGGTTGGGAAATTAAATTATTAAGAATATTTTGTCTCTTCGACATAAGTATATAATAATCAGATGATAAACCAATAACTGGACACTGTAAAATTATAGCAATAGCGGTACAAACAGTTGTAGGAAAAGATTTAACTCTAATGCACTTGAATTGGAATTCATTTAAAGCATACATAAATACTTTTTTGGCTGAAAGACTGAGTACTTTGGGGACTTTATCCGGTGCATTTAATTTTAAGGCCGTGATATGTTGTGACAACAGGTTAAATTCTATCCTTTGTTTATACTTTAATTTTTGATTCTGTTAGTAAGAAATGAATAGCAAATAGAATTATTTATATGATTAAAAATAACTAGAATTTTTTTTTCATTTTTATCAATAATCTTAAAACATCTCATTCTCGTTGAAAAGACTTTTTTACCCGTTGTCAGTTAAACATTATGTAGTATGATAAGACATTAAGTATGTTTAAATAACAAGTAGACACAGTTTGAGTTGATTCCTTATGATCAAGGAAATGCAATTTCCAATAATTTTCTCATGAAAAGATTAATTTTTCCGCCATACAATATAGAAAGTCTTTGAAATAACTTCACTTCATACAACACTAGCCGTAAGCCTTAGTTTAGCAACTAAATAAGATATTTCAATTTATCTTTCAAGGACTAGCGTTTTTTCGCACTAATTAAGAGTTTGAATGTAAATTTATGCTGAAAGTGACTTTTTGTCACGAAGTTATATAAGCTGGAGAACTATTGAAAACGATAAAGCACTGATCAGCTTATTTTATCAATTCTGGGCATTCCTCAACAGTTACTATCTACGATCACACGATGCATAGAGCCGAATACCTCATGGTGGTTAGAATATCTTTAGACCACACAATAACAATGAAATGAATTCAGATTCCTAACTTTAGTCAATTTGCGATGTAACGCAACTGCAATCCAATGCTGTCGGTCAATTACTGTCTCCTTTACGACAAGGTCCAACTTCACAAACCCCATCCATAAAGTACTTTTGATTAATTATCACTACTACGAGTATTATTATCGTTATTGCTTTTATTAATATAAGTTTTAAGATTACCACCTGCCTCTCACTACACACTACAACCCAAAATGATCGTAGCCCATTAATATGCATTGCCCATTACGAACTAAAAGTCAATTACTTATGAACAGATAACGGGTCTTTTTAAAATGACAATATTTAGCAGAAGATATCAAAAAATTATAGACTAAGAAGACATTATAAAACAAGTCTGAATCTAACTCACCCAATTTAGGAAGTGACATTGTATCATAAACCATAAAAACCAAAAGACTGTGAATGAAATGAATGACACCAAACGACTTGAGTCTTCTAGATAGTTAGTTCTGTTTTCCGCTATAAATAACAGATTCGCAGATGCTTCTAATGGCTTTGTCATTTTCATTCTAAATACTTACTTACTAACTCATGTTAACCCTCATGAAGGAGCTTAAGACGCTCACCAGCATTCTCCACCTAACTCTGTCCTGGACGCACGTCTCCAGTTGTTTCCAGTTTCTCCTCATTCCATTCATATCTCCCTCCGATTCCCGACGCAATCTGTTCTCTGGTCTTCCTTTATTCCTCTTCCCTTCACAATTCCGAGTCAAGGATTGCATCGTGGTGCAGTTTGATGATTTCCGCAATGGATGTCCTATTCTCCTCCAGAGTCTTTTTCTAATTTTCACTTCAGATTAGGTTTCGTTTGTTTGCATTGAAAAGTGAGACTTCGGTGTTGACTGACAGTTGTTTGAGTTGCACATGTTCTTCGATTGTAGGGATGCTGCTCTTGTTTTGCTGATACCTGCATTCACATTTTCATCAGATCCTCCTAGATTATCAATGACGCTGCCTAGATACGTGAAAGTTTCCACCTTCTCTATCAAGTGTGATTGGATTGCTATTTACCGTGTTGTATTTCAGAATCCTGCTTTTTCTCTGGTGTATGTTGATGTTTAAAGCTACAGAGGTTGGTGCTACACTAGTTGTCTTCACCTGCACTTGTTGATTTGTATGAGATAAAAGAGCTCGGCCATCTTGTTGGGGCGATTCCGAAAATTTCTCGCAGTAGACAAGAAAGACTCGGGAAACATTAAGAAGCATTTTATCCAATCAGCGTTTGACTAGAAGTTCTGCTAGAAACATCTCGAAAGTGAAAAGTCACATGTACGGTTTCTGAATGGCTGATTACTACACTCCTACTATGTTTATTAGCATCCCAGAATTTTCAGGAAAACCAAAGGACTTCTAAAATACTATAAAAGCCCTGTATTTTCTGTACATAAATGAACCTTTGGAGTAAAGTGCTTCTCACATATTTTGCGCCTTTTCTCTCGTGTTCAAGTCACTGCGTAGACTTAGCTTGGGGTTACGAGACTAGCTTAGGATCAGAGTATAGCGTTCAATTAGCAAGACTTATAACATCTGTAAAGTCCAAATTGTCCAGTCACATCCAAGCTGTTCATTGTATTCCATGCTTCATCTGAAATGTGGAGGTCCTCATAATCCAGTCGATCATCAGAAGAAAAAGAAAGGGAGAGTAGACAGTCTTGTCTGACACCGGTCCTCACTTGCAATGCATATCAGCTGTCCTTCATGCACGACTCCACAGTGTAGTCCGTCGTACGAATTTCGTGTGATGTCTACAATATTCTCAGGTACACCGTAGTGTCGAATAAAGGTCTATAAAATTCTCCTGTTAAGAAAGATTTATCGGGAGAGACCAAAGAAGACTGATTTACAGTCAAGTTAATTCGGTTATATATATATATATATATATATATATATATATATATAACCAATTGCCATTAATTTTAGAATTTTACCAACTGGCCAATCATCAATAAGCACGAAATTACTGTTAAATAACCGATACATGGAAAACTGATTGAAAGTCAAATAACTGATTACAATTGGAAATACACTGAAAGTTATTGAATAGAATTTACTCTAGTTCAACGAGAATGCATTGAAATTGACTGAAAAAAAGCCTTACATAGACATACGAAATTAAGATTAGTTTCCTTCTTTATACACCGTATTTCGGGATATAACGAGCTCCCAATCATACATACTATGCTATCTTTAGGTATGAGATCGTTATACATAAATGTTCCAACTATGGACAGTTTTTTATATACCCAACCAAATCGGAGAGAGAAAATTGGAAGCCTCAAAAAATATATCATCTACTATTATTGTATTCTAACGAAATCTCTGAAATTTAGTGACTATGAAATTATGCTTATGATAAAAAAAATTCACACTACTGTTCCTATACAATTCTGAACTTATGGTTTGGATGATTGTTAATTAATCTGATTACTTAATCCTAGGCTACATGGGAGTATCTGACATTAATACCGGTTAAATTGCTGACGATATACAAAAGCGATCCTAAAAATATTTCTTCCGACTGGTGTTTCGAAAAAGTTACATGAGGATTGACCAAGATAGCTTGAAACTCTTGACTGTAATTTAGGAAAGGGGCAGTTGATGGGTTTTAGCAAAACAAATTTGTCAAGTACTTCAGTTTAGGAACACTACACAAATTAAACAAATAAGCGTATTAATCTTGAGATGTTTATCAAGAATGCTAGGGAATGATGCGTCTTCACAGCATAAATAAAAGCAATTTGCAACGTGTTTGTAAGGGAGGATTAGGACTAATGTTAACTTTTGTGAAAAAGCCCTTACTTTCATGTCACAGCAACCTCTGAGAATGAAGTACGGCTCCACATTCGAGCATTGCAAATTCAAAAAGAACGAACGCACAGCCACGTAAAACGAAATGTTCTCACCACCATACAGTCCTGTAGAAAACTTATCATGTAAAAAACCAACTAAGTCGTCAGTGTCCACAACAACTTTTGTATCTTTCAGAAAGAAAGGTTCCCATGAAGCGAAACTTTCTAAAAGAATTTTATCTAGGCCCAGTACGGTCATTGCCAATTTATAGGGGTTTTGAGCAGAACGATATATAATCTAAAAAATTATTTAAAAAATCAAGTCTTTTGAGTAGAGCCTTGGCTTTATCAAAATACGATGACTTCGACAGTTGTAAAATTTCAGAAAATAAATGATATGCGAAAAGCATTGAAAAATAACTACTAAAATATTACTAGCACACACTAATAAAGATGATAGAAAGGGGATGGGAAAACCATACAGATTTACGTGACTTAATCCAAAAAGGAACTCCGTCTGTAGCTCTTGTAGAGTTACTGCCGGTCTCAAGCCCGGGTAAAAGGGGAGGATCAGGCACGGGGTTAGCGACCCGATCCCGTAGAAAACTAACTAGCTAAAAAACGCTAACCAGAAAAAATAATTCAAATCATTTAAACTCTGCCTTCCGAGTTCGAGAAAGAATTATGACACCTCATAATGAAAGGCAAGTTTTTTGGAAGTCACGAAGCCGCTGTGGGATTTAATTTGTCTTACAGATATACTACTAAAACTGTAAACGCGATACTGGCGATCCCACAGTCTATGTGAAAGCTATAGTCAGAACAAGGACAACTTGACTTTAAACTTTATCTGTTTCTGAACATAAAAACAATTAGATTAGTACAATAATTAAACAACTACAGTCATTAAGTGAAACGCACAAACATACCGACTAGTAATGCGTGTCTTATCGAAATGAATAAAAATTATGAGTCACATCAATATAATAGGATAATAATGTTTTTCAATTGGTAGGTCACATGCAACAGGGATAGTTTACAGACAAATCATACCAGATTAACGTGATGGAAGCTTAAGCAACGATTTGATTGTTTATTTATGGACATAACTAACAGTCGATGCCACTTCTAACAACCAGAGTAACAATTTTTATAGGTACACGGAATGTACGGACAATGTGGAAGACCGTGAAGATCAGTCAAATAGTAATGGAAATGAGGAGATGCAACTTGGTAGTAAAACTCCGCCTGTAGCTCTTCTAGAGTTACTGCCGGTCCCAAGCCCGGGTAAAAGGGGAGGATCAGGCACGGGGTTAGCGACCCGATCCCGTAGAAAACTAACTAGCTAAAAAACGCTAACCAGAAAAAATAATTCAAATCATTTAAACTCTGCCTTCCGAGTTCGAGAAAGAATTATGACACCTCATAATGAAAGGCAAGTTTTTTGGAAGTCACGAAGCCGCTGTGGGATTTAATTTGTCTTACAGATATACTACTAAAACTGTAAACGCGATACTGGCGATCCCACAGTCTATGTGAAAGCTATAGTCAGAACAAGGACAACTTGACTTTAAACTTTATCTGTTTCTGAACATAAAAACAATTAGATTAGTACAATAATTAAACAACTACAGTCATTAAGTGAAACGCACAAACATACCGACTAGTAATGCGTGTCTTATCGAAATGAATAAAAATTATGAGTCACATCAATATAATAGGATAATAATGTTTTTCAATTGGTAGGTCACATGCAACAGGGATAGTTTACAGACAAATCATACCAGATTAACGTGATGGAAGCTTAAGCAACGATTTGATTGTTTATTTATGGACATAACTAACAGTCGATGCCACTTCTAACAACCAGAGTAACAATTTTTATAGGTACACGGAATGTACGGACAATGTGGAAGACCGTGAAGATCAGTCAAATAGTAATGGAAATGAGGAGATGCAACTTGGTAGTAAAACTCCGCCTGTAGCTCTTCTAGAGTTACTGCCGGTCCCAAGCCCGGGTAAAGGAGGAGGGTTGGGCATGGGGTTAGCGACCCCATCCCGTAGAAAAGCTAACTCGCTAAAAAAACGCTAACCAGAAAAAATAATTCAAACCATTTAAACTCTGCTCTGGCAGTTGAAGGAATAATGACGTCTCATGATGAAAGCCGAAATTCTTCGGAAGTCACGAGATCGATGCCCCTTCTAACAACCAGAGCAACACTCTTTATAGGTACATGGAACGTCCGGACAATGTGGAAGACAGGAAAGACCAGCCAAATAGCAATGGAAATGCGGAGATACAACTTGGCAGTACTCGGAATCAGCGAAACCCATTGGACACAAACTGGACAACAAAGGCTAGGTACAGGAGAGATGCTGCTGTACTCCGGTCACGAAGGGGAAAATGCTCCACACACTCAGGGAGTTGCTCTAATGCTGTCCAAAGAAGCAAGAAATGCACTTGTGGGATGGGAATCTCATGGACACAGGATAATCAAAGCATCATTCAGAACAAAGAAGCAAGGGATCACAATGAACGTTATCCAATGTTATGCACCCACCAATGATAGCAACGACGATGATAAAGATCAGTTCTATGAAAGGCTGCAATCAATTGTAGCAAAGTGCTCAAGAAAAGACCTCACCATCCTGATGAGAGATCTAAATGCTAAAGTTGGAGTGGACAACACAGGATATGAAGATATAATCGGACGACACGGACTAGGAGAAAGAAATGAAAATGGGGAGAGACTTGCAAACCTATGTGCTTTCAACAAATTGGTTATAGGCGGCACAATATTCCCACACAAACGCATACACAAAGCTACATGGATCTCACCGGACCATACCACAGAGAACCAGATAGATCACATCTGTATCAACAAAAAATTCCGAAGATCAATGGAAGATGTAAGAACCCGGAGAGGAGCTGACATAGCTTCAGATCACCACCTGGTTGTGGCCAAGATGAGACTGAAGCTTAAGAAAGACTGGACAACTGGACAAACAGCACTACAAAGGTTTAATACAGTCTTCCTTCGAGATGCTGACAAGCTCCAAGAATTCAAGATAACTCTCAACAATAGGTTACAAGCTCTACAGGATCTACTGAAAGAACAAGAAACTACGATGGAGGACAACTGGAAAGGGATAAAAGAAGCACTAACTTCAATGTGTCAGGAGGTTCTTGGTCCTAAGAAGCATCATCACAAGGAATGGATCTCTCTGGGAACCCTGGACAAAATTCAAGAAAGGAAGAACAAGAAACTAGCAATTAACAACAGCCGAACACGAGCAGAGAAAGTCAAAGCACAAGCAGACTACGCAGAAGCAAACAAGCAAGTGAAGAAAAGCATTAAAGCCGACAAGCAGAAATACATGGGAGAACTAGCAACGGCGGCGGAAAAAGCTGCAAGAGAAGGGAATATGAAACAACTATATGACACAACGAAGAAATTGGCAGGGAGATATAGCAAACCAGAGAGACCAGTCAAGGACAAAGAAGGAAAGACAATCACTGAGATTCAAGAACAGAGGGAAAGATGGGCAGAATACTTCGAGGAACTGCTGAATAGACCAGCCCCATTGAATCCACCGAACATCAAAGCAGCCCACACAGACCTTCCAATAGATATCACTCCACCAACGATCGAAGAAGTCAAGATGGCCATCAGACAAATCAAAAGTGGGAAGACGGCAGGACCTGACAATATACCAGCAGAAGCACTGCAGTAAGACATTGAAATAACTGCAAACATGCTTCACCTTCTATTCAAAAAGATTTGGGAAGAAGAACAAGTGCCAACGGACTGAAAGGAAGGATATCTCATCAAGATACCAAAGAAAGGAGATCTGAGCAAATGTGAAAACTACAGATGAAATGATGAATTCTATTGACGATACAGAGGCATCAGTTTGTTATCAGTACCAGGAAAAGTTTTCAACAGAGTGCTGCTGAATCGGATGAAAGACGCAGGAGACGCCGAACTTAGTGATCAACAGGCTGGATTCCGAAAGGATCGGTCGTGCACAGACCAGATTGCGACACTACGGATCATCGTTGAACAATCAGTTGAGTGGAACTCATCACTATACGTCAACTTTATTGACTATGAGAAGGCGTTTGACAGCGTGGACAGGAGAACATTATGGAAACTTCTTCGACACTATGGAGTTCCTCAGAAGATCGTCAACATTATCCAAAACTCATACGATGGATTACAGTGAAAAGTGGTGCATGGAGGACAGCTGACAGGTGCATTTCCAGTAAGGACCGGAGTCAGACAAGGCTGTCTACTCTCCCCATTCCTCTTCCTCCTAGTGATTGACTGGATTATGAAGAATTCGACATCTGAAGGGAAATACGGAATACAATGGACAGCTCAGAATCAATTAGATGATTTGGACTTCGCAGATGACCTAGCCCTCCTCTCTCATACACACGACCAAATGCAGATGAAGACAGCAAATGTAGCAGCAGCCTCTGCATCGATAGGCCTCCACATTCACAAAGGAAAAAGCAAGATTCTCAAATGCAACACGGAGAACACCAACCCAATCACACTTGACGGCGAAACTCTGGAAGAGGTGGAAACATTCAAGTACCTGGGGAGCATCGTTGATAAACAAGGAGGATCGGATGCAGATGTAAAGGCGAGGATTGGCAAAGCAAGGGCAGCATTTCTACAATTGAAGAACATACGGAACTCAAAACAACTCTCAACTAATTTCAAGGTCAGAATCTTCAATACGAACGTCAAGACAGTCCTACTGTATGGAGCTGAAACGTGGAGAACTACTACGGCCATCATCAGGAAGGTACAAGTATTTATAAACAGTTGTCTACGCAAAATACTCAACATCCACTGGCCGGATACTATCAGCAACAGCGTTTTATGGGAGAGGACAAACCAGCTTCCAGCTGAAGAGGAAATTAGGAAAAGACGTTGGAAATGGATCGGACATACATTAAGAAAATCACCAATGTGCATCACGACTCAATCCCTAACTTGGAATCCGGAAGGGAAGCGGAAAAGAGGAAGACCAAAGAACACACTACGCCGGGAAATAGAAGCCGATATGAAAAGGCTGAATAGTAACTGGAAAGAACTGGAAAGGAAGGCTCAGGACAGAGTTGGATGGAGAATGCTGGTGAGCAGCCTATGCTCCTCGACGAGGGGTAACAGGCGTAAGTAAGTAAGTAAGTAAGTAAGTAAGTAAGTAACTTGGTAGTAAGCGGAATCAGCGAAACCCATTGGACTCAAGCTGGACACCAAAGGCTAGATATCGCATAGATGCTTCTGTACTCCGATCACGAAGAGGAAGAAAACGCTCCACACACTCAGGGACTTGCTCTAATGCTGTCCAAAGAAGCACGAAATGCACTTGTATGATGTGAATCTCATGGATTCAAAATAATCAAAGTATCTTTCAAAACAAAGACGGAGGGAATCACTATGAATATAATCCAATGTTATGTATCCATCAATGATAGCAAGGACCACAATATAGGTCAGTTCTATGAGAGGCTGCAATCGATCATAGCAAAGTGCTCAAGAAAGAACCTCACTATCCTTATGGGAGATCTAAACACCGAAGTCGGAATGGATAACACCGGATATGAAGATATAATGGGACGACATGGACTGAGAGAGAGAAACGGAAATGAGGGGAGATTCGTAAATCTATGTGCATTCAACAAATTGGTTATAGGAAGCACAATATTTCCACACAAACGCATACACAAAGCTACATGGATCTCACCGGACCACACCACAGAGAACCAGATAGATCATATTTGCATCAGTAAAAAGTTCAGAATGTCAATGAAAGACGTGAGAACCAGTAGAGGAGCTGACATAGCTTCAGATCACCACCAAAGGTTGGTTGGCGAGATGCAACTGAAACTAAACAAACACTGGACAACTGGATAAACAGCATTACAAAGGTTCAATACAGTCTTCCTTCGATATACTAACAAACTCAACGAATTCAAGATAATTCTCAATAACAGGTTCCAAGCTTCACAGGTTCTACTAAAAGAACAAGAAACTACGATGGAGGACAACTGGAAAGGGATCAAAGAAACACTAACTTCAACATGTCAGGAGGTTCTGGACTGCAAGAAATTATCATCATAAGGAATGGATCTCTATGAGAACCCTAGACAAGATTCAAGAAAGGAAGAACAAGAAGACAGCAATTAACAACAGTCGAACACGAGCAGAGAAAGTCAAGGCACAAGCAGAGTACACAGAAGCAAACAAGCAAGTGGCGAAGAGGAAGGAAATCTGTCAGGATTAACACAGGTTCGTCAACCTACTATCCTTATTACTGAAGACTGAAGAAGAAACAGAGAACACTTGACCATAGTTTTTAAATTGCTTAATGATAAATTTGTACCTAATATGCCCTCACCATTTTTGTCTTTTAAAACAGAGAATTCACGAGGACACTGAGAAAGTTCACAAGCCCACAATAAATTGCTTGTCAGATGACTATCGACTTTCCCATCGAACCATCAACCAATGGAATTCATTAACTCAACACGTGACTGCAGCTCCATCTGTCAACGCTTCTAAAAGAAAGTTGGATCAACTGAGAGACCATAATTGCCAGACTAACCCAGGCAATGTAGCTTCTTGTCCTTTCCAAAGTGGAACTTTAGCTTCACTAGATTGAAGCAGAAGCAGGTTCAGAAAAATCCTATGCAGTAATATGGATGAGTCAATCTGGAAGGACTAGCATAGGTCAAACGACCAAATATCACTTTAATTGAGACAAGGTTAATGCAGTGAAAAATAGAACGAATAAGCTTTTTATTGGTCTCTCTAATGTTATGTGATGTTTGGAACAATAAAAATACGATTACCTCAAGGTGCGAATCTCTATTACTTATTATTTTCTTCAATCCGATCATCAAACTAACGAATCAAGTCACTTTAGACATATGCTTAAGTGAAACTTTGACGATAGAATGATAATGTCATGTCATGACCAGCTGATAATTTAAAACCAACATATTTCTACATACAAACCAGATCCCATTAGGCATTCCTAACACAAGATCTAGCTATAGCTAGACACTATTATAATAGTGTCGTAGTTCTCGATTTTTTGTATAACCGATTGATACATAGTGTTGACAGGTATATACGCCATAGAAATTAAAGCTGAACTGTGAAAATCTACTTCACAAACAATTTCTAATGATTATAATAAGTACCCAAAAAATGTATAAGAAGCACGGAAACGCCTCACCTCTCTGAAATGATATCGCGTTGGGGATTGCAAGCATCTAAAGGTCAAACGGTCGGGAAACGATTAGTGCATCAGATTCAACTTTGTGTATTAAGGACAGAAGGCCTATGGCCTGTTTTAGCCGTTTTCTAGTAAAATGCTGAGAGTATCTAGTCTTCTCGTGAATAAGTCAGTTGAAAGTGACAGGTTCCATAGATTGCTGACTCGCTGTGAAAAGTTGTATACCTCGAGTATTTTTTTCGTCCTTGGTTTTTATACTTGCCTTGTATGCCTTCTGAGTTATCCTGGTCTGGTAGGAAAACGCAGAGGATACATCACTTTGAAAGTTAGACAGGTAATATAAAGTAAAGAAGTCTAGCTTCTCAAGCCGCTCCTTGTATGGTCAACCCCAGGGTTCTAGAATTGCACGGGTAGCTGCCCTCCGTACTGTTTCTACTATTCACCTTCTAAACAGGGGCTTTCAGTCCAGATTCATTTTTAAGTGGCCTTATACCTGATTCCAATTCGATCGTATGAATGATTGTTACTGATTTACACATCCCGACTTGAATCGCGTTAGTGAATAACGGAATTAGAATAATTTTATAGAGTTGGGATCATGAGTCAATTGAAGCTAGACCACCATGGAAAACCTGGAATTAGAATAAGCCAAGGCGTTCGAATATGAACCCTTAACAATCTTTGACGGTCTGTAGTGGGATAAACAAAGGTATGGAAAATTAGTGGACAATACTCATAATTCCTGTCTTTACTAGAATGAAATGTGGGTCTGAAAACGCTACCTGGGGATCACATAGCTGCTATTCGTAAAGTTGTCCTTAACGTGAATGCACCTAACGTTTACGGTTGTCTCAACGAGGCAATCCTTAGACATTTCCTCCCTTCGAGGTAAGAACGACTGAGAACTTTATTAGCAAGTCACCCCCTGCGTTATGCTAAACTGTGCCATCAACTCACGCTCCTGCAATCTCTCGCAGGACCCACAACAGCCGATTCCGAAATCGTTGAAGAATTATGGCTTGAATCTTTACCAGCACATATGTAACCAACGATTACAGCTCTGCTCGAAGACACCTCAATTTACCAGGTGGCCCTTATGTCAGATAAGATATTGGCAAGGACTCGCACTCTAGCCAGGTAACGCCACAACAACTCGCCCTAAGCGGGCACCTTTCAAGCCACGCAAAACGGTGGTTCTGGAAGCGAGTTCTGGTTGGTGCTGGTTCCGCCGTGCCTTCGAGGCCAGTCCCCGCCGTTGTCGAGCCCCTTGCTCATACAGGGTGGGAAACTCGCGAACCGGCGAGTAAATGTGGCCGTATTAGTCGGCCCTTTACCTCAGGTTGGCCGTTTATTTTAGGTGCACGATTATCGCACTAACACTAAGTAACTAGTGGGTACAGGTGCCCAAGTTTCCATCGTACCGATTGGTAACAGTAAGTCTGAAGCTACGATGCTTTGACTACGCTCTTCAAATGGCTCAGTCATTCCTACCTATGGTACACGACAGCTTGCGGTCAACCTGAGCAACCGACGACAGTATCTGTGGGCGTTCATCATTGTCGAGGTTCCCACGGCCATACTCGATATTGATTTCCTACAGCACTATAAATTCCTAGTCAATTCACGTAGGCTGCAGCTAATCGATACTTCGTCGAACAGCAAATTCGTGATCTTTAAAGCTCAAGCAAATGTGCACCGAATCACAAGTGTAGTTCCTTCACGTGACCATGTATTCCACGCTTTATTTCAGAAATTCCCCTAATTAAATAAACCTCTTGGGAGACCCCATCGGTGACTAATCGTGTGGTACACCACATGGTCACCCGCGGACCCCAGTCACGGCGAAACCTTCCCGACTGGCACCGGACAAATTATCTTTCGCTAAACATGAGTTTGACAATTTACTAGCTGTTGGTATTATTCGTCCTTCTTACAGTCCCTGGGCCTCACTTCTACACATGGTTCGCAAAACAGACGGGGTTAGTTGGAGACCATGCGGCGACTGCCGAGCATTAAACGTAGCTACACGTTTTGATAGCCACCCAATCCACCACATGCACTACATCACGGCATCACTCAGGGGCACGGCTATCTTTTCTAAGATTGATGTGGTACGAGCACATCGTCAGATCCAAGTCGCTCTTGAAGATATCGAGAAAACCCCTATCATGACTCATTTTAGTTTGAGTTCCTACGAATGCCGGAAAGTACCCTTAGTTGCTAGCTCATGTACTATCCTATGTGATACTTCTACTGATCTTCCCCGATTCATCGTATCCTCGGCTTATCATCATCTCGTCTTCGATGCCCTGCATGGACTGTCTCATCCAGGCATAGCAGTAACATTACGCCTCATCGCTGCACGATACGTCTGACCGTCCGTGAACAAAGACGTCCGTATGTGGGTAAAGAAATGCTTACAATGTCAACGATCAAAAGTGCACAAGTACGTAGCTACACCTATCAGCACGTTCCCTACGCCTGATGCTCGCTTCAGTCACGTTCACATAGACATCGTGGGACCATTGTTAGCATCGCACGGATATGATCACATACTCATGTGCATTGATCCTTTAACAAGATGGCTGGAAGCTATTCCCATCACGCTTATTACTGTGGAGACAGTCGCTCACCTGTTCGTTGAACGATGGATAACACTGTACGGCTGTCCCTCGACTGTCACGACTGGCCGAGGACAACAATTTGAGTCCGGATTATTCTCCTCGCCAACCGGGCTGCTTGGTACGGAACGCATACTCACTACTGCCTACTACCTAGAATTAAGCGGTTTAGTTGAACGGTTTCATCGCCAACTTAAAAGTGCTCTTCAAGAACACAAAAATGACAACTGGTACGAAATCTTACCGCTCGTCCTCTTAGGTATCAGAACGAGCTTAAAGGCATATATTCAATTTTCCGCCGCTGAACTTGCTTACGGCACGATAATGCGTCTACCTGGGGAATTTTTCACACCACGAAGCAGTAACAGTTTCGGCAAATCAGACTATGTCCAACGATTGTCTGAGTTCATGCGAACACTGCCTCCGGTGTCAACTCGTATGCAACATCGAAAGATCGCTCTCCCTCGAGTGTTATCTACCCGTTGACATGTTTTCATAAGAGTAGATTCGGTACGAAACCTTTGCAACGGCCTTATGAATGACGTTTTCACTTGATTTCCCGTCATAAAAGAGAAGAGTTAGAATTGGTTACAGAAACTAAGATTCCAATTTAATCTGTGGTGGTTGTGGCGTTTGTATGAAATAATGAGTCTCCGGTTGACTCCGGATTGTAAATACAATACGTTCGTTTATGCCCATCTAGTTTTATCTCGCTTAAATCTCACCATTTCTGGAATTATTAGCTCTTAAAGTAAATCAAGCACTTTTAACTATCATAGAATTTCCTCTGGATGCATGAATTGAGCAGTATGATCTAACCACCAACTTCGAATTGATCAAGTTACGCAATTATTAGCTATTGAGACCACAATGTAGTACAAATTAGTTGGGCAGTCATACTATTCTAGCCGTCTCTAAAATAGGCCGAAACTCATAGTACAAGGAGACACAATCTCATCATATCAATTTCAGCTTAATTCAACAAACTCTCGACCCCTCATGAGGATCCAAGTTAAGACGTGTTCTTCGCAACGATAGGAAAATATTATTTAAATACTCGACTTTCGCTATCTTAGTTCTTTCCATTTGTTCCGATTAGCGTATTTAATAGGTAAAACGTCATAAGGTCTATGAGTACATTATTAGTAAGAGATTTTCAGAAAAATTAGTCCCTTTGATAAATTCGAATGGTGCAATAAGAGGATGAAGACTATCAGAACTAAGTGATATGTTGCCTCAATAAATCAGGTCATAAATACACTTGTTAGAAGCATTTGTGTACAAAAAAAGGTCAACTAGACTAGAAATGGAGAGTAAGAGAAAACAAGAATGATAGAGAAAATAGTATGAAAAAACAATGTAAAGACTCATCACTCTGGACAATAAGCTAGTACCACAGGGGTAGGATAAAGGCGAAAACAAACTGTATTTGATTACATAAAGCGGGTTTGTGAAGTCACTAGTGGTGAACTCGCTTCTGAATGTTGTACATTTAGACTTGATGCCACCTATCGTAGCCCGATCTGCTTAGCTGTAAAGTAAAAATAAGAAATGCATGATATTCGGAGACTTGAATGCATCTGATATTAGTTAGACATAAGTGACCACCGCAAGATCTGAAGACTTTCGATTGTAGGCTACTGATGGTGGGAATGGAGCTCTTTTTAGTACAGATTGCATCCGTAGCCATACGTTTTGGTTTGAACCAAAGATAACTTACGCAACCAGTGATATTACTTACTTAAATACTTTCCTACCGTGGAAAAATAGCTATCATACTGTTTTATCACTAATGTTTAGGGCTTGTGACAAAATACGTGATTAGGTTAAACCTAGCCCAAATGTATGAAAAGCAAAAACATCACTCATTCGGGAGCGTGCATCAACGACGGACTGGTCAGTAAATGCTAGCTTCACAATTGAAGAAATATGGTCTACATTTAGAGGTACTATTAGTTAAGTTACTCCCCTCGCCTATGCCATGCTAAGCACTACGTAGACACAACCATGGGTACGTGAACAGTTCGAGAAATTTTCCTGGGTGTAGATCATTGGCGCTGATGATCTCTGTTGAATGATTAAGGGCCTACTCAAGTTAGACGGGAATGGCGTGATCAACAGATACCGGTGAAGTCACACCTCAGCATTTAACGAGGATTGCCCCTTCGTCGTATCAAGGTGCTATGGGTGTTTTGAAGACCATTCAACACAAAGAACGTTATTGCAGAAATATAGTCTTAGAAATAAAGGCTTCTAGCCAAACTACGGTCCTTCGGAATCAACAACCCACTCTATTCATGGTTTGTTTCATTCTTAAAGGGACGTAAACAAATGGTAAAGTACAACGACTGTCTCTCATTACCTAGACCAATGACTAGTGGCGTCATCCAGGGAAGTGTATTATGTAACATCATAAAATCTGGGAAACCATACTTATATGCTGATGATCTCGAAATAGTATACAGCTATAAGCCTGAGGCTCCAAGTGAAAGTGTGCCCTGATTCAAGATGATCTCAATAACCTAACTATCTGGAGCGAAAAGTGGCAATTACCATTTAACCTCCACAAATGAGGGATCATGCACTTTGGAAAGCACCCCTATGAACCCCAACTTTACTTAAATAAAAGTAAGGTCCAGACACTTAATTCAGTACACGATCTAGGAATAAATTACACAGGAGGCCTAAACTTTAAAGCACATGCCTCCTCTATTATTTCTAAATCCAGACCTCTAATTGGCTTCATAACGAAAAATTTCTTCACGACAGAGGCTAAGCTTACCATTTACAAAATATGTGTATGACATTCCCTAGAATACTGCTCTTTTATCTTCTCTAATATGAATACCACTGACAAAATAAGGGTAGAAGATGTTCGAAGACGCTTTACACGCCAACTGCTAGGAAGTGACTCCACTCTCGATTACACAAGTAGATGTAAGCACCACTCTTTAGAACCTTTATGGCACCGTAGGTTAAGGAATAATCTGGTATTTCTGTAAAAAGCAATAAATTGACTGTCATTCCTAACCTCCTGCCCAACTATGATCAATGACCGAGCCTATAGACTAAGAAACAATGCATATACACTATTTACCGAAAAACACCAAAAACAAATGCGTTGTAGGTTTTTTGCAGTTCGGTATAGTTTGTTGTGGAACAGGCTGCCAATACCTATCCGTGACTGTGACACCTTTACTAAATTTAAAAGGCTAATAACCCTGTTACTAAACTCTAACAAACTTCACCAACTATTCCTTGAACCAATGAGGCACTTTATTATGGACCGCCTAATATCTAGACGGAACAAGAATATAACGAACCCCATTGTCGTTAGTATGAATATAACTAAACTAAAGAAAACATGCTTTATCCTCCCCCACTATTTATTGATTATTGACCATGGCCTTCCGCTCCTAACCCTCATTTTCGGTTTCCGAATCTCTCTAATTGATAAATTCAAATTATTCTTCCTAAGTGTCATGTCCTTTTGTTTTTTTATTACAAGTAGACAGATAACTCACTAATCTTATGGATGCTGACCAACTAAGGCCGATCAAAAGAAGCTTAAATGTCCTAAATTTTTGTGAGTTGTTCAATGTTTTATTTTTCTAACCCTGAAAATTTTACAATCTACTCTTTCATATCCTGTGGTTTGCTATTAGTCCTTACCATCTCATAACCACATATAATCTGACTTTTCTCTTATAACCTTTACCACTATTTATCTTCATAGCAGCACGATATATTTAATGGATATCTAACCCATAATACAAATGCTATTACCATCTGATTTGCTTGTAACATGGAACTTGTAGAGACAGTGTATTCCAGCTATGGTCCTTGATTAAAGCAATATTCGTACTGACCACAAACGTTAGAGAGCCTAACATCATAAAAGGAGGGAGGGTGGCGTTACTGACCAGCAAACATGATGGTGGGGAGATAACTTTAATCCACCCGTGTCTGTGGGGCAGAACATATTAATTACGGCTCCTTATGTCTAGTGGGATGTCACAAACCAACGGTATTGATGCGAAATTATTCATGCAAAATTCCACTTTGAATCATGTTAAAAAAAAGCTGAATTGGTTTCACTTCCTAACGAGTAATCCTATTGCAAGCAAACTAGACAATTGGCTAAAAACGAAGCCCACTCTATGCCCTATAAAATCTAAAAACAAAAAAGAGATTTCAAACAGCTTCGAAAAAAAAGTAGACAGCCATTTGTATCGGAATTCTGTTTTCAGAACTTTATTTTATAATTACACAATTCCATACTCCCTTCTGAACTACCTTCATTTATACAGTTCCTTATCCACTTATACCTTGTTCACACTTATTTTTCTTTAGCACATTAGTATGCTTTTACCTAATAGGTACTTCAGTAACAGACAAATAGACTAAATGGTTATACCTTAACTATTCCTCCACGAATATTGTGTGCTCTGCTTTTCGTCCTTCCTTTTCCTTACACCTTTTTCAGCCCTTTGGAGATACCCCACCGAAAACAGATATGGAACGGGTGACTTCGTCCTACACCGTTATTAAAGCCTCAGATATCCCGGAGGGATATAAGGTCGAAGCTTCTAAAAGCCCCCAACTTCGCATGTATCTACTATCGACTATCAGCTGTGTGTTGTAACGCTACCTTCACAACGTGCACCTAGTGTGATATTGATATGTTTCTTACGAAATCCATTTACACTAATGTCTTATACAATATCATCCCAGCAGAGTAATTTTCTACAGTGAAAGTTGTAACTTCTGTAACAATTTGATCTTGCTTGTAAACCGGCATGCCTCATGTAACAAACTGTTATTTGAGAATAAATTATTATCATTATTTTAGTTAAAGCAGGTACCAGCGAAAGCGTGACCACCACCTCATGGGCCAGTCCATGGAGTACGATTAACTGATGCGCGTTGGTTGTCCTTGAATATGGCAGGGACAGATGATCTGTTCATATTCACTGATCCAACTACCGGATGATTTGGCGAATGCTCAGTGACATTTCACTGGGCCTACAGTTCTCCCCCCCACCAGATTCAGTTACCTTTTGAATCGGTACCAAACATGTTGGTAGTAGTTGCGCGCCGGAGGTTGCCAAAAGATTAATATGAATCCTCCGGGTATTGCCGAGCTGCGAGATAAATGGAAAAGGGGAGGCAGAAACTGGTCGGAAAACACCGAGTAATAATATCTTACTGGGACCTCAATTGAATGTAAAGCGGTTAATAATAGAAATACATTCAGTAAGGACAGAAGACTACAGATCGAGAGGAATGTGGCACGATGAAGTCTTTAAAAGGCATTAAGTACACATGCAGATTATACCAATTAGGACAATATTACAAATTTATTTGTTGAGTGAATATGTAATTGGTCATTAGAAGTTAATTTTAACAAGAACGTGGAGATGCAAATAGATGACTTTGACAATTCACATCACTACACAATATATGGAGTTCCTTGGCCCGTAAAGATCTGACAGTCCTAGTAAGGAATGACTTCATAACTAAGAATAAGCTCAAGGCAGCCTTTAACACATGCACCAGGGTCTTATAGGCTATTAGTAAGTCATTCAATTACTTGGACCCGTATCTGGAATATAGGATTCACAAAATGAGTCCTTGTTTCAGCTGTGAGGCGGACATTCTGGAACGAGTTCAATGGTGAGGAACCAAGTTGGTTAAAAGTCTCTATGGACCATCTTATGAAGACAGACTGAGACACCTGAACATACTTCCGTCATAAAACGGTGGGTTACGAGGTGATCTAGTACTGACTTACCGTATACCGAGAATGAACTTCGGTGATAATGTGTCTTATCGTTTCCTCGCATCCAACACCGATCACCTGAGAGCACATTTCAAGAAATTTCGATAACGCTACCCAACTGTTTGCGTCTGGAGTTCGGTTTCTTTCACCGGGTAGTGAAAGTACTGGGATTTTCTACCGGAATAAGTCATGTCAGCACCCACTCTCGATACAACCAACCATGATTGAACCTCCACAATACGATAAATTGCATGGATTGATATAAGTCGACTGGCCTCTTATCTTTACTACCGAAGAGTGAAGTCTGTTTCAACATACGGTCGTAAATTTTATTGTGTTTCTGATTTAAGAACATATGAGCCATATTTGAGTAACTTTTGGCTAAATACGGTTCAAATTGACAGGATGCGACGAATCTTTTCCCATTCATTTGTACTATAGCGTTCAATCTTGTTAAACTTTGTAACCAAGTCTTAAACAACCTTATGAAGGTCGCGCTAGTAGTGGCGCGGAAGCCGGGGTTCTAGGTATGTTGGTGTTGCTGGTTCATTTTGTCCTACTCACTTTTATCGCAATAATAAATGTGAAATATTGGGTTGATACGCATCCTTGGTTTGGTCTCGGTATGAACCTTGGTTCTCAAGTAGCCTTAGCTTCGCTTAGTTTGATTATTTTGTGACTTCAATTAGGTATGTCGTCTGCTTGTAAATCTTGTTCTCAGGGGACAAGTCACTACTGGAACATTATATTTGCTACACTTGTTCTCTATTCTGTTCCGCAGCAGTGTACCTTGTTTTCGACGGCTCTTGTTAAAACTCTAAAAATGTCTTCGCAATCACAACTGAGTAATTTCTTTTCCCTGCTTATTTATTATGGATCTTTGGGCGTTGAAAAATTAAGTTTATACTAAGTCACACTGCAGATTTTATCAGGCGTCAAAGTCCTTGTTTAATGTAACTGTTCACCCTGAAGGTTTCTACTATTCATAAAAGTAAAATTTTAACGTTCGTCCCCATCTATGAAGTTTTGCTATAAAGCTAGAAAATTTCTGGATAAGAATTAAAAATACCGTCCAGGTATTCAAGTTATTGGTTCGTGTTCTCCGTCTTTGAATCACTATCCTGGTTTCTATGAGTCGTTCTACTGAATTTAACTTAGTTTTTCTCAAACAATTTGTTGAATAATGTTTAGATTGCCACCCTTATCTCTCGATAACGTTTATTAATTTAAGGGAAGGATAAAAACTTTCCTCTTCTTAGCACAACGTATGCCATATACACTGCACTTTGTCTACAACAGAACAAAAAGTTCTTCTATGTCATCCATAATTCGAGGTTTTATTTGTGGTTATCCTCTTTTCACAAAAGTTTGAAATCTTCAAACCTCTTCAGCGTGGATGGTACAATTATTGTCAAATAGGAAATATGCTTGGCATTAATTAAGACAAAAAATAATGTTTATGAGCGTTTTTCTTTTTTGAAACGTAAGTGGTCTACGAAACTTGAGACTTACAATCTCCGTTTGTTAAATAACTTATGGTCACGTTTATTCTTGTTTTTGACATTTTGTATGTGACTATTGTTTTACAGAAACAAATGCAATTTCATTAAAAAGTTACGCATACTACTACACCATTATTTATCTTGACAAAATTATCTTTGTGCTCAAGGATTGTGATAATTTGGACCGATGGACCTGTGTTAAGTCCTTTGTTGTCTTTGACTAACTGTCTAGCAATTAAGGGGCAAATGTACTGCGCGGAGGTTCGTTCTGTTTTACTTTAAGGCTGCGAAACATGGCCGTTAATGGTAGAGGATGCTCGTAAGGTACTAGCACTTAATCACAAATGTCTTAGAAATATTGCCAGTATTTGCTGGGATCACTGGGTAAATAATGGTAAGGTCAGACTCAGGGTATTAGGGAATGATGGCAAATCAGTTGATGAGGCTGTGGATCTACATCGACTGAGATTGTTAGGCCGTTTATTGTTTATGCCCAACCATCGATTACCACGGCGCGCAATGCCAACTTGTGTTGGAGACTGATGGAAGAAAGTTGGGGGCCGCAAAACTAATACATGGCATCAATCCATAAGGCCACCGACCTCTGGTCTGAGCCATTCTGATAGATGCAGACTTTGTTTTATTTTATTTAAACATAAATATTGGTACAAGGAAGCACCAGATGCATATGCGCCGCACAAATCTCATTCGATTTGTGTGAGGGCTGTGATACTGCTCAGGTGCCCAAACTGAAGCAGGTGGTTTTCTTAGGAGACCACACCCGGAGCCTTTGACCTAAAGGTCTGATCTACAAGACAGTGGAACAACGTAAGGAGTTTATTTATATTTATTTATTTATTTAAACACATACATATTGGTACAAAAGGGCACCAGATACATATGCGCCACACAAAATAATGAAAGTAGGAAGAGGAGGGATGAAAAGATAAGGCGGACTGAAATGTACAACCAGAAGAGTCTTTCAGTTAAGAAAGTTAGAACCACTCTTTATGAAGAAGGCAAAAGGAGGTTACAGCAGGATCGCCACTGGTTTCTATTCTGAGCCATATCTGATAACATCTCTAGCCACTGTGTTGCACCATCTCTCGGACCCCAGCCAGGGAGTCATGAAGGACCAACAGAAGCCAGTCCTTTGCAGCTTTCTTTCATGCCACGACACCATGTCATACACTGACCTCCTCTCTGCTTTTTCCAACCACTCCCAGAGTCGGCAAATAATGCACGACGTGGAAGTCTCTGGGACGACATTCGTAGAACATGTTCAAGCCACCGAAGTCGGTGTTTCAAAATGGTGACACCAATTGAATTATCGTCTCTGCGCCCGAACACACGATGCCGAACCTCTGCATTACTAACATGGTGTTGCCACTGGATGTCAGCAATCCTTCGGAGACAACGATGATCGAACACAGAGAGTCGTCTAACATCCTCAACTCGGAGAGGCCAGGTTTCACAAGCATAGAGCAAAACTGCTCTCACCGACGCGTTGTAGATCCGACCTTTTACAGCCAGACTAGCATCACGAAGGCACCAAAGATACCCAGATCGGCATAAGCTGCTCTGGCTTTCATTATACGTGCATCAATCTCATCACTCACGCCACCACCAGCACTTATGTAGCTACCTAGATACACGGACTTCTCAACTACTTCAACCTGCTCACCATCCAGGGTGAGTACAGGATGAGAATCCTGCCAGTCTTGTAGGAGTACTTTGCACTTGGAGGGTGCAAAGCACATGCCGTACCTGCGGACACTGATTGCCAACTGATTAAGTGCGGATTGCATGCCTTGGGCATTATCGCACAGTAAGACAGTATCACCCGCATATTCCATGTCGAGAAGTCGTTCTCCAGGCAGCATATCCACACCGCCATTACTTACGTCCATCAGAGCTGTTTCCAGGATGTCGTCGATGGCAAAGTTGAAGAGGAATGGTGAGATCGGGCAACCCTGCCTAACCCCACTGCTTGAATGGAGCAAGGGAGATAGTTGTGTGCCGTCACTCTGCCTGAGGTGTTCGTATACAGGGCCTTTAAGATGTTAATGAACTTCTCAGGCACACCCTTCTTCAATAGACAATCCCAGAGAACAGTCCTGTCCAACGAATCGAAGGCAGCCCTGATATCAAAAAACACTACGATTTTTGACCTGTGATAAGTATGGCGGTGTTATAACATTTGGCGAAGGGTGAAGATATGATCAATGCATCCTCGACCAGAACGAAAACCAGCCTGCTCCTCGCGAGTCAATCGTTCTCAGGTTTTAAACAACCTACGAAGAATGACAGAAGCCAATAGTTTGGACGCAATCGGAAGTAGACTTATCCACCGATAGTTGTTACAGGAACAACGTGAACCCTTTTTAAAGATAGGGACGACTATCGACTCATTCCAGATTGTTGGAACACTTTCTTGCTCCCAAACCTTTGCAAACAACACAGTCAATTCCTTAGTCAGAAAGTCACCACCATCTTTAAAAAGAGCCGGAGGTAAGTCATCTGGGCCCGGTGATTTGCAGTGCTTCAGGAGTTGGAGTTCCTTGCGGACTTCCGCCTCGTTTGGTGGATCAGTCGTCACCGGCCACGGGGGACAAGACAAACTGGTCGATGTTGTCGGAGCAGCAGGCCAGTTGAACTGCCCTTCGCTGAATTCCGCCATCATCCAAGACGTCGAGAGATGTTAGTGATTGGCATCCCGTCATTTTCACACCAGACTTGCTGTCAGTGGCTCGGATGAGTTGGAAGAGCTTTTGGCAGTTACCAGATACAGCTGCCTCTCCCATCCCATTAGCACTCTCCGACCACCAGGCTTCTCAGTCCTTACGCAAGCTTTGCACAATTTCATTACGTAACAGCCTTCGTTTGTGGTCAAACTCACGGTCACCCTGAGTAGACCGACGGGCTTCGATCAGTTGTAAGGAGCCAAAAGAAACCCAGTGCTTATAAGCGGGACGTTTCGCGAAGCCGCAAGCGACCTTACTCGCCACTTTCATGGCGTCGTGAAGATGCAACCAATGCTCATCTATACTTTTCGGTGGTATGGTAGCTAGCCTAGAAGCTAGCTCGGCTCGATACTTACTTGCAACAGAAGTTGCAGCCAGTTTACTAACATCAATCCGTTGGTGGTGGTCAATCCTTCGGCCACTGAAAAGTAAGGTGAGATTGGCGCAGACCAGAGCATGATCAGACTCCAGATAGGTACTCCAAAAGGAGCGACAGTCTTGTACACAACCATGCCAACGGTAGCTGATCGCGATGTGATCAATCTGAGTCCAGGCTTGGGATGCATAGGGAGGACGCCAGGTGGCACACCGGCGATGACTGTGCCAAAAGTTAGTGCTAGCCAGAAACAGGTTGTGGTTTGTGCACAGTTGCAGCAAACGGTCCCCGTTATCTGTCCTGCGACCAACAAGTCCCCATCGGCCACCTAAACGACTCTCTTCTGTGCCTAGACGCCCGACCTGTGCATTCAAGTCTCCGGCTAATACTACAATATCTGTCGAACGCGCTTTCTAGAGAAGAACAGTTAACTGGTGGTAGAACTCATCCTTGATTGCATCCGGGCTGCAATCCGTCGGGGCATAGGCGGAAATGACGAAAAGACACCGTTTCTCACGCCAATTTCTTCGCACTTTGGTGGAAATTTCTAATCTAACAGCACATAACTGACTGTTAATGGGGATCTAATCGACTAGTGCTGTCTCAGCTCTAGCGCTTAGTGCAACACCAACGCCTGCAAGACCGGACGAAGATGCCACAGAGTCCCCGGATGAGCGCACGTGAAACAAGCTTTTCGAGGCGACAGATGGAGAGCGAATTTGTAGTAGTTCACTAGAGTCTTGAATACGGGTCTCGGATAGACAACAAACATCAAGACTTTCTAAAGACATAGCCAGCCCTATCTGTTGTCAGTCAGTCACAACGGCGTAGGTGTATACACTTTATCTTCCCTTTAACTGTGAGATTAAAATTACTTAATACCTTTCTTTCTACGAGCTGATTTCCTGTATCGTATCCTCATACGAAATGTTTTTTTTAACTATCATTGAAGTAACTGAGTCTATGAATTTGTTATTCATCTTGTTGTGCTGATGAGGTATGTGAACTTGGACCGATGTATTTATGTGACTGGTCATACGTTGTAGCTGACTGACTAACTGGCCACT